TTATATCTCGAATTGTTTAAACATCTTCTTATTACAAATTTGATTATGAACAGAGATATATCAATACACTTTAACTAAGAAAAAAAGTTATATAGGGATGGAATATAATCAACCCTGCTCTGTATGCTCTGTACCAATGCCACGGGGAAAGAAAACCATTATTATACCAACTTTATGCATAGTTGGCTGTACATGGTTTGTTTATATTAATGACTCATTTTTCCCTTTGATACACTGTAAGGCGAGAGAGTCTGATGATTTATTATGTTTATTATATCCGATTATAACCGAATATTTACGATTAAGATAACAACAAAGCATTAAAAAACAAACGAAAGCACATTAAATGGCTTTAACATGTATGACAAAATGTGCAATAGCATTGGTCATAATGACTATACATTTATGTTTCACAAAACCATATACTCAATATTTTGATTCTATCTCTTTAGACTTTAGACTTGATTTTTTTTTCATAAATCTGTTGAATAGTCAAAAACAGCGGTTGAAATCGGGTATTCTCTTCAAATCTTATCTACTACTTGTGTCCTATGTACATTTTCCTTCAGTCAAAACCTTTCTCAAATTGGTCTGAGTCGAAAAGTCTCAAAGTGGTAACTGAAGTCGTTATTTGTTGACCAAAAAATAGTTAAAACAGTGATACTGCATATTATACCGCTAAACGTAAGCACCAACGTACATTTTGCAGAATATTGCTCGGAATATCTCAATAAATTTAATTTCATAATTTTAATTACAATTAAATATTTACAAATTAACGGCACTTCGAGCTAAAATTATTTATAACATATGTGATCATTTCACACGCAATTATAATTAGAACTGTCATACGTCTCCCCTCGGGATTTATATGCAAACGCATCTTGTAGTTTATTGCATTAAAATCTATTTTAGCAGCATACAGACGTTAAAGTTTTATGACGCATTGTTGAAATGAATTCATAAAATAGCAGGTCGGTCGTGTTGATAAAAAATTAGTTATACCAAATCAGCTAAAAAATGCTTATATTTTATTATCATTTATATTCTTTTTATACAGACACATATCATTGTGGTAAACTCAGTATGACGTTGCTGTCAAATATATCTTTAACTTAATCTATAGATTAATACCTTGTATCAACGATCGATGTAGATATGCACATGACATGTCTTATATATAATATCTTAATGGTTTCAGTAAAATGTATATTATTAATCGAGAATAAATGCACTCTGTCTGATAATAGGTCTGTAAAATTACTTATTCTGTATGTAATAGATTTTTTTCTTTTATCAAATTAAACAGGATTGTTTTCAAAGGGATAATAGTTTAAAATTTACACATATTAATCTGAAAGTTACATAGTAGGATTGCTTCCTCAAATGTATCTTTCATAATAACGTTTGTTTCTAGTTCTATCGATAGTAACACGATTGTTTTCAAAGTAGATATCTCTGAAATTCTGAACAAACTTCTTTTGATCAGTACACACATCAGGAGTGTGTCGTATGAACAAACAATTTTAACCAGAAAGAGAACATAACAAACTGGTACCATGAGTTGTCAAGTTTAGAATAGTATACTTCAACATTCAATAACACCAATAACAACAAGGTGATGCGACAGCAATGCAGATTCCATTACATTGAATATTTTTATGAAAATTATATCCTTTCCAACCATGCCGTCCAATAAAACATTAAATATTCACGTATTTGATAAATTAGAGTAACAATACCTGTTAATTATTCACGTTTAAAATAAATGACATTACGCCGTCTGTCAATCAATCTCTCAGGGGTCATAGAGATAAGCCAATCAGCGATTGTTATCAGTTCCACGCTAAGATGCCTGCGAAGTCCACCATTTTCCTAAGACAAGCTACTTGTCTAAGACAATGGCACAGAAGTAATTTAGATTGAAATTATTTTAATTGTCTGTCAATTTAAAGCTTTTTTATCCATATATTAATTAAGTTACCAAATATTCTGACAAATTGACAGATCGAGTAAGTTAGATTATTATACAAAAAGTCAATATGGAAATAATAAAGTACGCAACATTTATCCTGGTTATAACACAATGCTTGGAAAAAGGAAAAAGTTTAAACAAATACACTTTTTTGTTTCCATTCTATCTATTCATAATCACATTACATATTATAAGGTCCCAAAATATCCAGGAGATATGACATTTTTTCGTTTATAACGTAAAGCGATAAAAATAAAAACGCAGCCGTAAAATGCAAATATAATGAGTAAATACAATAAAAAATTGGGTGAAATTATCGAACCTGAATATTTCTATTAAAGTTCAATAAATTAAGATTAAATATTCAAAAAAGTATGCTTAATACGAAACTAAAACGATCATAACATAATCATATATTTTTTTACATATAGTCTCTCTTTGAATTTGTAAGATATAACGATATTTTGTCAGTTTTAGATTTTCATTGAAGTCAACAAGAAATAACACGATCTTTGCAAAACGTTTCATGCGTCAGTAATACGTGAATACAGATTTTATTTTTACTTTTTAAAAATACCATGTTACATTTATACATTCAATAAAACCATTAAAAAGCATCACAATTTTATATATACAAAAAATTTATAAGGTTAATTCATTGGTAACATTAATGGCATAAAAGTTTTGCGATTACAGCGGTACCGTAAATTGTCCAAGGTTCTTAGATCGGGTCACGTGAATCAGTGGGCGGAGCGATCCCTTCTCTTGCGTAATGTCAATGGCGTCATTTACTATCGTTATCATTAAAGAATATCGAATGTTACAAGTGTGGTGGTGACTAAAGTCTCACATACAAGCAAATGTTTTTAACAATTCTTAAACGTATCAAATTACCACCCATTTTAACACTATTCCACCCTTCTAAATCTATCAATATCCTAAAATTTCAAAGGCGTTAATTGCCTAATTTTAGTATAGTTCATGGAAAAATACTTTACCGTTATTATTATAACTTGAAATACTGTAATATTCTATAATTGCATATTAGCAAAAATACCAAAAAATTAATAATTAATAAATTTCTTCAAGGATCGAGATCATAAATATGTAAAAGAAAAAAAAAAAAGTTCCCTTGGGGCAGGACGACCCTCAATCTTCAATGTATTGTATTTACAAGCGATTGTATCATTTAAGAATACTCGAATTTACAAAGTGTGTGTATATGCATTACCAGTGGTGTCGACTCTTAATGTAAAATATGCATGTGATGATAAGTCTTATATTTCTATTAAAGGATTGTTTAAATACTTTAAGACTAATACTGTGTATTATATGAGGGAATTGTAAAATTTACTAAGTATGCTAAGTTAGAGTTTTGTATTTAATTGCACTTTGGTCAACAAGATGTGAAATCTCGTAATAAGTAATGATGCATTTCATAATAATTGGACGAGTTTCAGAGGGACGGTATCTCATGAAACCTTAATTAATTCATTTAAGATTTATTTCCCTTGTTTTGCTTCCTCTAATAACATTTGTGAATGTTGTAACACAGAAAAGGATTTATCAAAAGTTTATAATTTGAATAACATTAACTATCTATTTAAAATGACCGTTAACAATGACCTCTAAAAATTCCCTTAGAAATTCTCTGTAAGAAATCGTGATAATAATTGTAAGTCAACCTGTCCTTCTGTATGCTATCAATTTATATTTTTGGTAGTATCGAAAAAAATAAGAACACATGAATAAATATTCAAAATATAGTAGGTGAATAGAAATTAGTTAGTTCAGGCAGTTTGACTGAAAGTATATTCTTACACTATCACAAAGAAATCATTAAGTATTGGTTTGTAAATCAGCTGCACCATTTAATCTTTTTATTTTAAATTCTAACTTTGAAGATGGTAATATTTATGTCATCATAACTTTTCTTCTTCTTTTTGTTTTCTTTTTTATTCACTTATGGTAGTCTGTCCAATATTGTAGCCATAAATGTCTCAAAATATGTACAACTTTGATAATAAATTCACGTTACACAATGGCCGCTGATTGATATATTGCCGAGAAAGTGTAAACAACTGAAAGCAAAGCCATATCCTTAGATAAATTATTGATGAATTGGTGAATTAGTCATTTTTAATTTTATCTAAAAATAGTCGTCCGTAGCCTAATGGTTTAGGTCCTTAATTTCTGACCATTGCCTTCTAACCGCTGAGAGTTCGAAGGGACATTGGATTCTTTAGTTTGAGAAAGTTATCCAGTTTATATACGAATGATAGTGCTTCAGCACAGCTGCCCGATCGTGCCTAAAATAGTACACGGAGGGGCAACAAAGGTTTCTCTACCAGTAAATGTGGAAAGTCGCCGTATATACTTGACAATGTCCAGTGGCGATGTGACAATATATGATAATGCGTGATTTATTATTATAATCATGATATCACGCACAGGACTTATCTATAATGAGCAATTAAAGATAACAAAATTAGTCTTATAAGAAGAGAATAACATATTTCTCAGATGATATTGTGAAACTGACACTGTTGCTTATCTGCAAAAGGAATCATATCTATAAGTTTGAAGGTTCGAAGCAGATATATTCGTTGAAATTTTGTAATCCATTTCTATAAACACTTTACAAACGACAATATTTTCTGGCGTGTTTTTACTCTTTGTGATTGCATCAAACTGCCAAAACTACATTTACGCTTTCCGATACTGAAATGACTGTCTCGAAAACTGCTAATTGGTTAAAATAATCTGCATAGTGATTGGAAAAAGGTAAAAATTTACATAAGAAACCTTGTATTACGTCACTTATTGAGGTGCTTTTACTGAGATGCACACATTTTTGACTCCATTAGGTTTGCAAGATTATTATGTTTTACATTTATTCCGCCTTTGTGAAGTATAATTTTAGATTTATTTTACGCTAAACATTACTTCAAACAATCTCTTAATTAATGTTATCATGTTTTAGAATTTTATAAAAACCAAAGATGTGTTTCATTTTATACTTTATTCCTTTTAAGTATTACATTGAAATAAAAACTATTGAAATAAGTTATATTACTTAAATGCTTAAAACGCATACAGCAGAAATCCTGTGAAGCTTGTCAACTTATCACCGTAAAATGTGATATCCTGATGGCGTTCTACAGTCACGGCCACGGCGTCACCTGCCTGAAGATCTATTGTAGCCGTTACAGAACTGTGTTCGTATGCCCCTTTGCTATTACCATAAGCGCCAGCAATTTCAGCATTATTCTTTTCAATTATAACATGCATCTCATGATCCGTGGTACTTGCTCCAATCATCATTACTGACGTTGAAAAGACATAAATTCCGCTAACCGGAGCAATAAAAGTCCCATTTTTGGAGTGGTACCCACTCCCAACATTTAATGATACCGTTTCAAAAACAATCTTGTCATCGATATGTGTGTGGTGTGCAATATTTCCTCCTGCGATTGTTGCTTCGAATGCAACCGTCTCGACTGTATCAAGCACAAATCTTTTCTTTTTATCTGCAATTAACAATTGAAAGCATGTTAAATATTGTCAAAAGGAATGTTTCACAAAGTCTGAGTGCGAATTTTATTAACTAAAACTGACATTTAAAAGGGTGTCGTTAGAAAAGATGTATAGTATAGGATATTTAAAGTACATCACTTCCAAAAAAGTATTTCTTACGTTAAAAATTAATATTCTGATAATGGTTATTCAGTGAAAAACCCTCAATTAAGACCGCCATTGGGACTGATCCAAAGTGGTCTTAATTGCGGGATGGTCTTAATTGTGAATATTCTTATTTCTTACATACTTTATGACCATGGTCTGTTTTAGACATGTTGTACGAACAAACAGTATGTATCTCAATCTGATGAGAAGTAAATATATTTCTAAAGAAATTTAACATTTGGTCTGATTTCAATATTAATTTTTATATGATGTACTTAGTTAACCTATAAAATAAGAAATTAATTTTTCACAATATAAATGTGCGGAAAGCAACATTAAACCACTCTAAAATTCATTTTCTCATCTTATTTCATCATTTACAAAAATAACAACAATTTGCCACACCTTGTGAAGCCTGAGAGCATTCAAGCATATGCTAACAACAAAAAGAATTAGGTAAGTGTTGACTTTAATATCAGTGGTCTCAATAGTGGAGTCAAATAAAGAATAAAATAATGAATTGGGACTTAATCTGGTGGTCTTAACAGTGGATAAGCGGGTTGGTCTTAATTCTGGATCATGTAACCATTGATTTAAAGAACAGAATATTCCGTTCTTTAAAAATGGTCTTAATAGCAGAGTGGTCTTAATTCCGGGATGGTCTTAAGTAGGGAATTTACTGTTATTTGTTGCCCGCACTCCAGAGCATGCTCATTTTTACTGGGGTTAACTTATTGAAATGGTTTCAATTGATTGAAATATCAAATACAGATGCTCGTTCATTGGTTACTTTTTTCTGGGGTTTCATATTGTGACAACAGGGAACATGTTTTTATGTTTGACTATGATACAAAAGAGAAAGAACATCAAAACACACGGCAATCTGATTAATGCTAGGGGGCTACGCCCCCTCGTACAAATCAGAAAGCATCTTTCTATTACATATTTATCAGACATATTTTCTGTTAAATAGATAAATATCAAATAAGTATCTAACTTCCAAAAACACTAAAACGTGCCCAGAACAAACAACACTTATCAGTTAAATAATAGATAATTATCAGTTTATCTATAAAAAATTTGTGTTTGTTAACTGTAAATAAATTTTCAGTTAATAGATAATTGTTTATGCTTTCTGTTGACTCCATCACGCTACCAGAAACACTTTGTTTTGGTTTTTCTATACATAATGATTTTTTTATTGGTTAGTATAATGTGCCAACTGAACAACCATAGTGATTAAGTTACACCTTTCATGAAAATCAATATCAAAAGAAATTACCTATACTTAAAATGTAGAAATACCCATCGATAAGTAATGGGGTATAAGAAATATCCGGTATAAGAAATAATCTCGATAAGAAATGGGGTATATGAAATACCCGGTTTGGTAAGTAATGAGGTATATCTATCAGGATAAAATATTTAATTAATCATTAAACATAAAGATTGTCACTTTGGTTAATCACAATTATCGTACGTTTTTGAAATTTTGTTGTTTTATTTTCATTAAGCACAATCAAAATGTTGAAATACAATAAATATGCGCTTGCTATATATTTTGGCTTAACATGATATTTGAGAGGCCTGAACAGTTCATACTTATATTGCATCTGGCATTCAGTACCTGACGATAATAGTAAAGTATTGATAATTAATAAAACGGCATACTTGTAGTGAAACGTTTGTACCATCTCATATTGATAAAGAATGTTGATGAGAAAAATCACAATCAAAACTAGTATAATCACAATCAAAACTAGTATAATGTGCACCGCCTCCGTGGTCGAGGGGTTAGAGTCGATGACTTCTAATCCAGTTACCTCTCTGGCGTGGGTTCGATCCCCGGGAGATGCTTTGGTAGTTTAGCGCGGAGGAAGGTAGTCTAGTACTGGTGTAACTCTCCAGGAACGATGGTTAGGAAACTACCCGCCTATATGACTGAAATACTGTTGAAAAAGGCGTAAAATGAAACAAACAAACAAACAAACAAGTATAATGTGCTGTACTGTTGGGTTTTAAACATTATTAAGGGAAATTATTGAAATTCTAAGAATATTGAAATGCATTACCAATTGTTTTATCAACTTTTTGTATATCTCCAGCTCTCTCATCGTCATTCTTGTCCACGACAATATCGTTCTGCTGAATTGGCGCCTTTTTTACAAGTTTCAATAAGTGTTTTATCATTCGGTTTTGCTTCAGTAATTTTCGTTTTAGCTCGAGTATTTCAGATCCCATTTTCTTTTTATCGTTGTCCTGTGCGTCAACTTTTTCTTTCAGGTCAGCAATTGTGTTTTCTTGTGAAGAAACCTCTTTCTGAAGAGAAATTATCTGTACTGCTTGCCTTTCCACTGCAAATTAATATTACTATCATGAATTTGTATTTAAATTTAATGATAAAAATACATACGAATACTTCAAGCAATAACCTGAGCCACTTATTGTGTTGTATTCATACGTTGCTAAGGGATAGCATGTATACAGAATAATAAAATCCGGATGACATACATTCATATTGACCTCAGACGGCTATTTCTGTAAATTCTCTTATTTACTTAATATAGATCATTATACATATTTAAAATATTATCCCGCTTACCATAGAACACATTTATTTTATTTATTTCATTTTCTTATTATACAAGACACTAGTGGTTCTGAGTTACTTTCTTTGATGAAATCGTGGATAATAGTTGGAAGTTATTGTACTTTTTGCATGGAAAAGAGTTTTACATGCTCTTTATAATTTTGTTGTTGTTGTTCTTTATTGATTGCAAAAAAAGACTATAAATTTCTAATGCTTTATATTTTTTAAAGAAGCTATAGACTCGTTAGGCGATCAGATATATAAAAATCCTCCTGAAACAAGGAAATCATTTGATACTCTGATACTTTATTTGCATTTTATGAACACTAAGATTATTTCATAAACAGCAAATTTACATCGAAATTTTGTGTACAAACGTTACAATAAAGTCAGGATTTTGTTCCATTTGCAATCTTTAAAATATTAACTTACGTTTTTTCTCCAAAGCAATGAGTCTGGAATTGAAATCATCTCTAGGCTCATCACAATTTGCTTTAAATATGGATACCAAAATAACAAAGGTAATGGTTAAACTGTACATTTTTGAATAAATGTCCATATGTTTGGTTCCTTCTGTTAGCCAGAAGTAATGTTTGATTGACCTAAAGTGTAGTTGTCGAGATAGCTAAATGATCTAGATTAAAATGTCAGATATAAACATAGTTCAGTCGTAAGCATACTCCACCATCTTCATATTTGTCTTTGAGTGAATCAGTGCAATATGAGTGTAAGAATTGAAAGGAAAAACAAAATTCGTTGAACGTTGCCTATCAATGAAGTGAACATTGCCTGTTTTAAGAAATTGAACACCTTCTTACATCCTACCACTAAGGTAGTTTTCAATTTATTTCCTACATTTTTATGTTCTCTAAAACCCTAAACTTTATGTACACTTGAAATGTGATTGTGAATTCAAATAATTGCAAATTAAATAAACCTATCTGTAAACACGTATTTGTCATCTAATTTAATCAATTAATGTACTTCAATATTATATTAACAAGGATTTAGGGAACAATTTGTAAAACAGGAAGCTCCTGTACAAGATGTCAATGGGGAACGTTCTGACGACATTCTAAATCATCCAACCGATCCACCTGATACCAAATTTGGGAAGATTGATCATGATTGAATGATTGATTGATTGATTGATTGATTGATTACAACAGTTACTTTCAATATAGTACATATAAATATTAACAGTCATTCAAGTGTATAACTTGACCTTACACAAATAAAAAGTACGCATTGATATTTATCCTGTCACTTGCATCAATTTCGACCCGATAACAAGGTGCCGTATATTTTTACTGATCTACGGCACTTGGTCACGTGGTATGAATGAATCGGTATGACAGCCGGACTACTTTTAGCGAGCGTCGCTTAAAACAGTTTTTTAAATGCTAGCGTTTATAAAAGCTGTAATCAATAAAAATAACTGTGTAGTTTGAAAATAAATTTACTTATCAAGCAACTAAATGTGTTTGTTATAATTAAAACGGCCTCTTTAAAGCATTTATTGACATATTATCTTGACCTAAATACGACTTTATAGTAAACAAGCGTTTATTGTACACGGAGCATTGTTTACAAACAGTTGTATGCCTGTCAAAACTTTACTGTAAACTGAACAAATGTGCGAGGATATGAGTCAGGGTACTTTTGACATCCTTTGGGATGATTTATGTGAGGCTAATGATCAAAATGAAAATTCAGATAACATTATTACTGCTGTTTCTGAGTTGACCAGTGTTGATTTCTTGAAAGAACATGGTTTTGACATTGAACTACTGTTCATTGAAATGAATGAAGATCAGAACCATGAAAATGTATTATCTTTCAATTCTACAACTAATACTGGACATGTTACAACTGAATTACCCTCAAGAGTTTCTTCCCCCATAACACTCAGTAAATCAGATGAATTACCCTCTACCAGTAGAACTCCTGTAACACCTGTTGAACCAAATCATGCAAATGAATTTACTTCTAGAGCTAATGTTATACTTGCTGGACCAAATCCTGTATTGCCTGAAACAAATGAAAATTCAACTTCCCCTTTGAATAACCAAGAAAGGCCAAGTAACAGTAACTTAAAAAAAGCAGAGTTCATGGAAATTTCATCAACAGATGTCAGAATCCTAATAGAAAATGAAGAGAATAAGAACACTCTTAAGAAAACACTATCAGATGTTGCTAAATTTGAAAGATTTCTGGAAAGCAAGCAAGAAACCAAACAATGCCATCAAATTGAACCAGACCTCTTAGATGAATATTTAGCTAACTTTATTTTATCTGTAAGAAAGCCAGACGGTGATGAGTATGAGCCTTCCACCATCAGAAACATGGTAGGAAGTATAGACCGCAAACTGCGCAGACAGCGATATCCTCATAAAATATTTTCTGAGCAGTCAAACATATTCCAACTAAGCAGAGATGCATTACATGCGAAACAGAAATCTCTTAAAAGGTTAGGAAAGGGAAATAAACCGAAGAAGTCCTGTCCGATATCTGACCAAGAAATTGACATGCTTTACGACAAAGGGATTCTTGGTAACAGAACCGCCAAGTCATTGCTGAATACCATTTGGATCAACAACTGTATATTGTTTGGTCTCAGAGGGACGAAAGAGAATTATAATTTAAGGTACAGTCCTTTAGAAATTAATGTGAAATTATTTAAACATGTTGAGATTTGAACTCAGAACTCCTCTTCAACAATATTATATGACAAAGAGGTATTTTCGCTATTAAACTACAAGAGCTTATAACATTCTTGCCATGGCCTGTCATTAATTATGCTATGTGAATGAAAATGACTGCAAGCATTTTATCATATATGATAATAACCTTATTAAGTTAAATATTTTGATAATGCACATTAATGGACACTAAAATAATGCCAAGTTTTAAATTGTATTATTGTGAAATTGTATTATTTCATTCTTATTAAACCAACTCTGGCATAAATAATTAAAAAACAAGTAATTAAAAGCCTAAACTTAGAAACATATCTCATATGCTACAGGTTTTTTTTGTCAGATTACTAATTACCTCAATATTTAATTATAAATAAAGAGATAAGAAATCTAAAACTAAACTAATATCTTTAAATCTACATGTATCTTCCAATATTAAATGTCAATGCCTAATGGGGAAGTATACATTTTTTCTATGTTGCTTGTAAAAAAAAAACACTCATTTTACCATTACTTTTATTTCACTAATTTTAGATGGGGTGATGTTTGTCTCAAAACTAGCTCAGATGGTGTTGAGTACCTTGAACTAAGAGAGCGCCAGACCAAAACAAGGACAGGATCGAACATCAATGATGTCCGAGAAGTGACACCAAAAATTTATGCAACCCCTGATGACCTAGAAAGATGTCCTGTGGAGATGTACAAACTTTATGCCAGTAAAAGACCTAATGATTTTTGTGAACAGGACAATCCTTTTTATATATCACCTCGCTCAAGCTCTCAAAAAGTAAGTTGATCATGAAAACTGATTCATGAAAATGCCTCTTGGAGAAAAAAAATTATTAGCCTGCTAAAAACAATGGCTATGGATGGTGTTTTAGATGAATAAACGCTTAACCAACCATTCAACAAGGAAACATTTAGTACAAAATATGAAAAACAAGATCAACAAGGAAAGGCGGCGTTCAATTAACCAACCATTCAACAAGGGAACATTTAGTACACAAACTTAGAGACTCAGGTATTGCTCCGACCGACATTATGCAGATAAGTGGCCATAAGAACATTCAATCTGTCATGAATTATTCTACAATGTCTGAGCAAACACATAAGCAATGTTCAAAGATCTTATCAAATGTAAGACCTAAACCACCATCCACAACCAGTTGTCCAAAAGTAAATGAATCTGTTGAGCCAATTGTTCATTCTGACAATCACATAGTTCTTGCTCCAATGACTGTCAACTCCAATGCACAATCATCAATGAATGAAAAAAATTTATCTTCTCTTAATGTTAATGCAACCAAAGGAAGTGCATCTGAGTCGAAACAAAATGAAAATCAAAACTTACATGTTGAAATTGTTCCCCACCCACCATCTCAGTTGCAGCCAACGGTGGTATCTCCAAATTCCAGTGGCAATTCCATCGCATTTGTAAATGACACTGTTACACTAAATACACAAATGAATTCTCTATTTTCTGGAGCTGTATTGAATATCCAGAATTTCAATTTGTACATGAAGTAAACTCGTGAAACGGTGAGACAAGTACTGTATCATGTATGACATTATGTACATGTAGATGCGTATGAAAGCCAAAAGCGAAATTATATAATTTTTGGTCAGTTCTTGAGAGGATATTTGACAAAATGCTGTGGAATAAAATAGTAGTTGTTTACATAGTTTGTTGTTATTATTTTATTTTGAAAAAATATCAAAATGTTGAGAACTATTTTTTTTTTCGCGCAAAGCGTAAGATTAAAATTAAACAACGTCACAATGAAAGGGACACAACTCAGTAAAAAAAATAAAGGTGGTTTACCTAATAAATTTTAAAAAAAACTGTGACAGGATAAATAGAATAATAGGTTGGTGCCGTGGATGGAGAAAGTTTATCTGGCTCGGCACCGGAATTTATCGGGTTCGCCTTCGGCTCACCCGATAAATTCCTCCGCCTCGCCAGATAAACTTTCTCCATCCACGGCACCAACCTATTATTCTCTATATCTGCTTTACTTTGCTTTACTAAGTGGGGTAACTGTAGCTAGTGTCATAACTACTTTTAACTGAACAAATTTAACTTTTAGAACTAAATCGATCTAAAGATTATATTTTTAAAATGCGTCGTAAACAATTTTACAACATGCTTTTAATATAATTAATATTTTAGCAATAGTTTGGCTAAATGTTCATATTAAATTTAGCAATTCAAAACAAAATAGCCAACAGTTAGAATATATTTCCTGACATAGAATACGATAAAAGAAAAAAGTTTCGAATTATGACCGAGATGCACGTATAGCCAATAGGACCACGAAAGTTTCCTGTTCTGGATTCGAGGATATAAAACTGAGATGAATTATCTGAATTAAGATAAGTCTGATAATCCTCGTCTTATACAGATGATAAGGGATCATTTTATTGTACAAATCAAACCTTCCATACAATTTAGCAGAACTGGACATATAAAACCCTGCTCTGTACCAATGTCACAAGGAAAGCAAATCGTTATACCACCTTTAAAGTTTAACACATTATTATAGTTAACTGTACATTGTTGATCTATAACATATACGTAATAGCTTGCTATTTCCCTTAATACCCTTACGTCTTCGACTATTAGAAGAGAGAGTCAATTGGTTTATTATATGTCCGAAAATAGCCGTATATTTACAATTAGATAACAACAATGCATTAGAAAAAACAAAGAATTGAAAGCAAATCAGTTGTCTTAATACATATATGACAAAATGTAGAATGGCAATGGTCATAATGATTATACATTTATGTTTCACAAAACCATATACTCAATATTTTGATTCTATCATTCTTAAATCTCTTGAATAGTAAAAAACAGCGGTTGAAATCGATCTTGTCTACAACTTGTGTCCTAGGTACATTTCTTTCAGTCAAAACCTTTCTCAGATTGGTCTGAGTCGGAGAGTCTCAAAGTGGTAACTGAAGTCGTTATTTGTTGACCAAAAATAGTTAAAACAGTGATACTGTATATTGTACCGCTAAACGTAAACACCAACGTACATTTTGCAAAACAATTGCTTGGAATATCTCAATAAATTTAATTTCATGAATTTAATTACAATTAAATAATTACAAATTAACGGCACTTCGAGCTAAAATTATTTACAACATATGTGATCATTTCACACGCAATTATAATTAGAACTGTCATCATCTCCCCTCGGGATTTATATGCAAACGCATCTTGTAGTTATTGCATTAAAATCTATTTTAGCAGCATACGGACGCTAAAGTTTTATGACGCATTGTTGAAATGAATTCATAAACTAGCAAGTCGGTCGTGTTGATAAAATTAGTAATACCTGTAGCGCCGATATATGTCCAAACGTCGAAAAATGTCCAAATGACGATAAATGTCCAAAAATTGACGATAATGTCTCAATCGCCGATAAATTAACGATAAATGTCCAAAAATTAACGAAAAATGTCGCAACAAATTAGGTGCTCATAAATTTCCAAATTGGTTAACGATAAATGTCTCAACTTTTCATATGTTAATTGCACTTATTTCTATGATCAACAGTAATGCCAAATCAGCTAAAAATGCTTATATTTTATTATCATTGAAAGTTATGTTTATACGGATATATCATTGTTGTAAACCCAGTATAATATTGCTGTCAAATATATATTTTATTTAAATTACAGATTGAAATTTTGTATAAACGAGTGATGTAAATTGTACATGACATGTTTAATTTGTAATATCTTAATGATTTCAGGTTGTAAACAAAATGTGTTTACAAATATTTATAAATGATTGAGAATAAATTCACTTAATTTGTATATTGAACAACCCATTCTATATTGAACATGCGTTTACTTGTACCAAAGTAAACAGAAATGTTTTAAAAGAGATAATAGGTAAAAATTTACATTTATTTATCCGAAAGTTTCATAGTAGCGTTGCTTTCTCAAATGTATCTTTCATGATAACGTTTGTTTTTAGTTCTATCCAAAGAAAACTATTGTTTTCAAAGTAGATTTCTCTTTAATTCTTTTGATCAGTTATGTACAAGTTATATATTTCATCTTTAAATAACCTAACATTCTAAATACGTGCAAATTTATTCCCAAAACATGACAATCAGGGTTTCTCCTTCTGCATCTTTGTACTTATTCAAATGCTTTATTTTTTTAGGGGGGGGGCAAGTTTTAGACAACCATCTGTGCTAAGTATTACAATAATATATTTATTTTAAGTTAATTCTAATAACAGAACTTGCTATAAAAAGTGAACAAAATCATGGTCATCGGATACATCGTGCCATCAGTTGTAAGTTTTAGAATGGTATACCTCAACATCAACAACACCAATTACAACAAGGTGATGCAACAGCATTGCAGATCCCATTACATTGAATATTATAATGAGAATTATATCCTTTCCAATCATATCGTTCATTAAAACTTTAAATATTTACATATTTAATAAAACTGTTTATTATTCATTTATAAAAATAAGCGTCATTTATTATCGTTATCATTAAGGAAGATGGAATGCTTTAATTGTGGTGGCGATAAAACTGCAACTATTGTGGTGACGACTATAATGTTACCATTGTTGTGACGACTATAATGTAAAATATGGGTGCCATGATAAGTGTTTTATTGCTATCAAAGGATTACTTAAACACTTTTAGACAGGTAAGGTGTACCATATGAGGGAAATTGTTATATTTCACTAAATTTTGTGTTGAACTCGACAAAATTGTCTAAGTAAACAAGTGGTGAAATCTTGTAATAAGTAATGGTGCATTTCAATAAGACTTAGAGCAATTATTGTATTTGAAGGGACGTTACCTCGTGAAACCTTAATCATTACATTTAAGATAGATTTATATCCCTTGTTTTGCTTCCTCTAATAATATTTGTGAATTTTGTAACGCAGAAAAGGATTTATCAAAAGTTTATCATTTTGATAACACTAAAGTCTATCTATTTAAATGAACGTTAACATTGACTGTTAAAATTCCCTTTATAATTCTCCGTAAAAATTCGTGATAATAGTTGTAAGTCAACCTGTCCTTCTGTATGATAACAATTTATATTTTTGGTAGTATTGAAAAATAATTACGTGAATAAGTATTCAAAATATAGTAGGTGAATAAAAATTAGTTCGTTCAGGCAGTTTGACTACACGTATATTCTTACGCTATCACAAAGAAATAATTCGATATAGCTTGTTTATCAGTTGTATCTTTAAATATGTAACTATCAAGATGGTTATATTTATTTCACCATAAGTTTTCGTCACCTTTTTTTAGTTCACTAATGGTAGTCTGCTTTAATGTCTCAAAATACATGGAGTTTCACACTTAAGATTTCTCTACGAGTAAAAGTGTAATGTCGCCGTATGGGTTTGACTGTGTCCAGTGACAATACACGGTAATGCATAATGTAATATTATATCCCCGATTTTTGCTGTATTGTGATACATCAAATGCACAGGACGATTGCATAATAAGCGAAAAAGACCAAGAAATCACTCTTATAAAGACAGATAAACATTTTTGTAAAACTGTCAGTATTGCAATTTTTAAGAGTTTGGAAAAATGAAACCAGTTATTTTACTTATTCATAGATTAATCTTTCAGTATTTAAGTTTGAAGGTTCGCAGCAGATATATTCGTTAAATTTGCGCTTTCCGATAGTGATATGACTGTCTCAAAAACTGCTAAGTGATTAAAAAGCACTGCTCAGTAAATGTACGTCAGAAACATTGTAATGTGTCACTAATTGAGGTGTTTTTCTGTAAAGCACACAATTTTTGACTGTGAAAGGTTTGGAGAAGAACTGAACAGATTCTGGAAGATTATTTGTACACTTTTTCCGCATTTTTGAGTATTATATTAGGTTTATTTTATGCTGCTGCACCAAACATTACTTCAACAATATCGCTTAAGAAATGTCATACAAGTATATAAAAAAAAAACAATGTGATCATGTTTTAGCCAAAGATGTGCAACATTTTATACTTTATTCATTAAAAGTATAAAATTGAAAGTTCTATTACATAAATACTTAAAACGCATAAAGCAGGAATCCAGTAAAGCTGGTCAAATTATCACCGTAGAATGTGATATCATCATGGCGTTCTACAGTCACAGCCACAGTATCACCAACCTTCAAGTCCATTGTAACCGTTACAGAACTATGTTCGTATGATCCCTTGTTAGAAGCATAAGCGCCAGCAATTTCAGCATTATTCTTTTCAATTATAACATGCATCCCAGTGTCTATGCTATTTGCTCCAATCATCATTACTGATGTTGAAAACACATAAATGCCGCTCATCGGGGCAATGAAAGTTCCATTTCCAGAGTGGTACCCATTGCCAACATTTAATGATACCGTTTCAAAAACAATCTTGTCATCGATATGTGTGTGGTGTGCAATATTCCCTCCTGCGATTGTTGCTTCAAAGGCAACCGTCTCGACCATATCAAGCACAAATCTTTTCTTTTTATCTGCAATTAACAATGTAACATATTTTAAATACTATCAAAATGAATCAAATGTTCAATAAAATCTATGTTCGCATTATGTGAACATGTTAAAAGTGCGTCTATAGAACAGAAACAAACAATGTTGTGTATGATAGAGAAAATACAACATACCGAAAAATATAATATAAATGTATTTTCAACGTAAAAAAGCCAATAGTGATTGTGATATGGTTCATTCACTGAAATAACTTTTTCTATATCATAAATGGACATTTTAAAGTTATATGCAATTCACATGTAAGAAATAAGATGACCTCAAAAACTATTTAATACTACATGTACATTTAAAATAGTGTTTATCTTAATGATTGATGCCTTTTGTGTAATATTTGTATTGACAACATCTCATAAATGTTTCATTTTCTAGATTATGATGATTAAGGCAGAAACTAGCAGAATGTGTTGTACTCAATTTTTACATTATATATGGGAATTACTAGAATTCTAACAATAAAGAATTGCATTACCAAGTGTTTTTAAATTATCAACTTTTTGTATAACTCCCACTCTTTCATCGTCATTCTTGTCTACGACATTTTCGTTCTGCTGAATTGGCGCCTTTTTGACAAGTTTCAATAAGTGTTTTATTATTCGGTTGTGCTTCAGTGATTCCCGTTTTAACTTCAGTATTTCAGCTTCCATTTTCTTTTTATCGTTGTCCTGGGCGTCAACTTTTTCTTTCAGGTCAGCAATGGTGTTTTCTTGGGTAGAAACCTCTTTCTGAAGAGAAATTATCTGTACTGCTTGTCTTTCCACTGCAAATTAAAAATACTATAATGAATTCATATCAAAATATAGTGATAAAATGCATACAAGTACACCAAACAGTAATGATAACCATCAATTCTTACTGGAGTAACAGTGATTTAGAGAATAAAATGTTAATAAATTTATGAAAAATGCAAAATCTATGTTACGCAAGGCGCTTAAAGGTAGCAGGAATACAGAGTATCTGAGAAAGCTATTTCTGTAAATTCTCTTAACATCCTTGTATGAATAATTATACATGTATCAAAATATTATCCTGCCTACCATATTACACATTGTTTTTATTTCTTAAATGGAGATAAGGAAATCTACCTATTACAAGGATTTCATTTAATACTCTTTTATACATATTTGCATTTTATGAAATTAAATTGAAATTCTTTGTGCAATTTTTACATTAAATCAGGATTTTGTTCCGTTTTTATATTATTTCAAATATTACTCACATTTATTCTCCAAAGCAATGAGTCTGGCTTTGAAATCATCTCCTGACTCGTCACATTTTGCATCAAATATTGATACCAAAATAACAAACGTAATAGTTAAAGTATACATCTTTTTAAAAACTGTCCATATGTTTGTTTTGTTTTGATAGCCACATGTAATGTTTGACTGGTCGTGAATAAGTAAGATAACTGAATGATCTAGATTAAAATGTCTGATGAAATAGTTTATTCGTAAGCATTATCTTCAACGTTGTCCATGAGTGAAACAGTGCAATATAAATGAACATTCTTTGAAAGCTGCCTACCAAAGAAGTGAACATTGTTTGTTTTAGAATATTGAAAAAAAAATCTTTTTACATTCTACGACCAGGGCAATATTCAATTTATTTCCTGCATGATTTATGTTCTTGAAAGACGTACACTTTATGTACACTTGAAAACATCACATTTTCAGATTTAATAAACGTTTGGGTAAACTCGAATTTATCATCTTAGTTTATCAATTAATGTGTTACTAGTATAACCAGGATTTAGGGAACCATTTTTTTATAAATATAGATAGCATGTCTACAGGAACTTATTCATCCAACCGATCCGCGTGGTAGGTAGATAGGTAGATTGGTAGGTATAGATTGATAGGTAGATCAATTGATTGATTATTTGATCCATCCATCAATCCATCCATCCATCCATCCATCCATCCATATCTATCTATCTATCTATCTATCTATCTATCTATCTATCTATCTATCTATCTATCTATCTATCTATCTATCTATCTATCTATCTATCTATCTATCTATCTATCTACCTATCTATCTATCTATCTATCTATCTATCTATCTATTTATTTATTTACTTTTTTATTTATTTATTTATCTATTTATTGTATACTACAAAAGTTATAGTATATATATATTCACAGTTGTTCAAGCGCGTTATCTGACCTGACACAAATAAATAAGAGTATACAGTGACAGAATTAAAAAAAAAAGTAGAATGCAAATACACTTAAAAAGGTCAAATAGCAATATTATATCTGCCGTGTGTTGTAAAATACTACCAATCGATACTGGATCTTTAAAAAAGCACGTACTTTTCGATAAATGAATTTAGTTAACGTATAATTGATAAGTTGATTTTATTAAAATGAATCGTAGGAATATTTTGCAACATGCGTTTAATATAATAAATTTATTCGTAATAGTTTGGCTAATTGTTCATATAAATTTTAGCAATTCAAAACAAAATAAACAACAATTAGACGATATTTCCGATAATAGTTTTAAAAAAACATTTTCGAATAGTGAACAAGATGCACGTATAACCAATATGACCAAGAAAGTTTCCCGTGACTATAAAAAAATTCTGGATTCGAGTACTTTGAAAAGCGGCTATAAAGATGAGATGAAAAAACTGAATAAAGAAAAAGTCGACGCTGATAACCCGCGTCTTCTACAGATGATACGGGAACATTTTATTGTACCACCATCCAATCTTCCATACAATTTAGCAGAAATAAACAAACGGGATACTTCCATGGGACAAGCGGCTTTTGTTGACAATAGACTAGGTTACAAAGTAAGTGTCTTGAAAATTCGTATTATATCTCTTATTGTAGATATAGCTATACCGTTTCACTTGTATTAGTTTCTGAATTATTCTACAGTAAGAATAAATCATGGATAAGAGCGTGTTATGATATATATTTTTCATGATTTTCTTTGACTTTTCATATCCATTAAACGTGTCAAAAGTGCTTCTCCTTACGTAGCCTATAACTGGCATAAGCAATATCGAATCCAGAAAAAAAATAGTACACAGATTCGATTCTATAAAGCAAACATATTATGTTAAAAAGCCGTAGTGTTGCAGTTATATTTTAAAGAATTAAAATTTCCCGATTGACATAATAAACGAATGATGTTCTTTTTAAATTTAAGATTTAAGCAAATATGTAAATTTTGTATTCCGTTTGCAAAAAATAGCAGCAGGACAATAGTCAATACATTATTAGTAGTATTGTTTATTATTATAATTATAGAGTAATAATGCATATGAAACTGGTAAAAAAGATGAAAATACTATCATGTGAGCTGTTAAACATTGTCACCAAATAAAAACCATAAACTTATTACACTTCTGAAAATTGACCAGATGTCAGAAAATGAGATCTAACAGTGCTTCCCGATCACCAATAATATGCAACCTTTTATGTATGAAGTACGAATCATAGTAAATAACCTCTATTCAAAATAGGTATCATGTTACATTATACTAACTATAACTAGCTATGTGTTTGACAAATGGGACAAAAAGAGTCCCGATTTACATTGTGCAAATGAATGTTTAACACAGTTTTAAATGAAGTTCAAATACGTGAACAAACTGAACAGAAAGTTTAATGTTTGAATGAAGCGTTCTACAAAGAATTTCAAAATATAATATTAAAAAAATATTGAAACATTAAAAAGCAAAGTGTAAAAGTACAAGCAAATTTGTAAATTTTGTATTCCGTTTGCAAAAAATAGCAGCAGGACAATAGTCAATACATTATTAGTAGTATTGTTTATTATTATAATTATAGAGTAATAATGCATATGAAACTGGTAAAAAAGATGAAAATACTATCATGTGAGCTGTTAAACATTGTCACCAAATAAAAACCATAAACTTATTACACTTCTGAAAATTGACCAGATGTCAGAAAATGAGATCTAACAGTGCTTCTCGATCACCAATAATATGCAACCTTTTATGTATGAAGTACGAATCATAGTAAATAACCTCTATTCAAAATAGGTATCATGTTACATTATACTAACTATAACTAGCTATGTGTTTGACAAATGGGACAAAAAGAGTCCCGATTTACATTGTGCAAATGAATGTTTAACACAGTTTTAAATGAAGTTCAAATACGTGAACAAACTGAACAGAAAGTTTAATGTTTGAATGAAGCGTTCTACAAAGAATTTCAAAATATAATATTAAAAAAATATTGAAACATTAAAAAGCAAAGTATAAAAGTACCAGCAAAAAAAATTTAACATTGATTTTCTAAAACAAATGTTTATTGAATCTATACCATCATCTCTCCTGAATATATTCAATCAGACTGAATCTGCAATTTTCACCTTTTACTACTTTCCTTTCTTTGCTCGGGCGGGAACTCCAATTTTCCAGATTACTAAGGTGTTGCTTGTTCGCGCGCGTATGTGTGTGTGTGTGTGCGTGCGTGCGTGCGTGCGTGTGTGTGTGTGTGTGTGTGTGTGTGTGAACATTATGCGAGTGTTTTTGTTTTCAAGATATAAGGTCTATTTTATTTGTTTCAACACTTTTTTATTGAAGAAATATAAATTGCTAAATATTAACCAGAAAAAGAGCTTAATATTGTATAATTAGAACGTAACATTATCCCACCATATTATATTCTCATTACGCTATTTGTTTTTATTGTAGCGTACATCATGACTTTACAACTTCATTCATAAGTTAACAGTAAAATGTCATCCTTAGAACGTAATTTATTCATAAAATGCGTGCATCAATGACGTCATTTAAAGCACGCGACTTGTCTTACATGGCACTTGTATAAACCGTAGATAATCCTGTCTGATATGCAATAATGAATTGTATTGCATTGTATAATTTCTTTTGTTACTCTTTTCTAAAACTTATTTTAACGACCAGATGCCTCAATTCTGTTACAGAAAGAAGGGTTTTTTGTTGAAAGCGGGGCTCATGATGGAGAATATTTGTCGAACACTCTTTTCTTCGAAAGATATAGAAATTGGACAGGAGTTCTAATAGAACCACTATCTAAAAGTTTTCAGAAATTACGTCTTAAAAGAAGAAAAGCTTACATCATAAATGCCTGTCTTAGTGTCCATCCATATCCATCAAAGGTAAACATGTTTCAAATTGATATTTGTCTAACTCTTCCATCGTACGCATAAATCTATATTTTATTCTTTGTTCAAAAGTTTCTTAGGTAGTCTAGGAATGGGTTACAAAGCAAACACTTGGCGATTTGTACTAAAAAGAAAAAAATATCATACGATATCAGAAAGGCAACTCCAAGAAAACTGTATTTGGTCATAATACTGATATTTTTGTGCCCCCACTGGGGGGGGGGGTAGATTTACCCTTGTCCGTCCATCAATCCGTCGGTCCGGGCGAACATCAACTGGTCTTTGAGCTTCATTCCGTCCATAATTTTAGTTAAAGGAAGAAGAAAATCCCATAAACCGACTGGTTTATAAATGTGGTAATTTTACTGGTTTATGGGGAAAAATCCCTCATAAACAATGTGGCCATACCACGTGACTTTTTGGGTACGGAACACGCCGATTTTTCACCCGATTCAGGTATGTTTTTATTCACAACTTATTTATTACTCAACCGATTTTGATCAGATAAGGCGCAGAGTACCCGTAATTATATCAGCTATCCACGGTATATCAAAATTCTGAAAACCCCTGAATAGTTTTTGAGAACATTCGAGTACAGTTTTCTTTTCATAGCCTGGGCCGAGGGGAACGGCGCACACTCATTTGCCATAACAAGCAATTTCTAGCAAGTCATATGTTTTTTGACACTATTTCATAGAAAAATACATGTTAAATCTGATATATTTACTATGTCCAATGTATCAAGTGAATGCAATGACGTTTTAGCATAGTTTCATAAAGTTATGTTGAAATGGTACGGAACACACTGTTATTCAAAAGATACGGTACACACACAATTTCTGTCTTTGTAATAATGCTTAAATAAAAATTACTAAAATTTAATTTCAATTATAATGTTAGTAATTTTTTTCATAGTTATACATTTTATTAATTTAAACGAGAACCCAGGGACCTCTTTTGAAATGTATCGTAATGCTTACTTTTAATGTTTATATGTATTTGTGCACTATATATTTCAAGAGATCACGCATTTACATTTACAACCTCCATGTAATTGTTTTATTTAAAATCACCTAGGGTAAACACTTCAATCTTCACAGAATCAGGTAGTTGCGCTCTATAGAAAGAAGATGTTGTTATATAATGCTGTGTTTATTGTTGTTTTTTATTTTTTTAGTTTAAGTGAAGTAAGATATGTCTTTTTGCTTCATCCTGAAAAAATAAAACAAGGTCATGACCTAAATCGCTAAAAAGTATCATTACTTGATAACAATTTATATATATTTATATTTTGTTAATAATAAGCAAGTCATTAGGTACAATTTTGCAATATCATGGTCATGTTTAATTAAATCAAATCACAGAAGGCACTGAATTTGTTTGGGTCTTAGAATGTCAGAAAGGTGGAGGCTGTGAGATTGTAAACCAATTTGTTTTTGTATAGTGCCACCAATGTTGTTTCTAGTATCATAACTGTAGTAAATTGGCTATAAGGCTTATTGCAACACTGATATGTAATGCATTGTTTATTTTGCTTAAACAATTTTAAAAAAAAAAGCATGCCTTAACTTGGATTTGAACTCAGGACATCTCTCTTCCTAAAAGAGCGTGTAACCCCTCGACCACGGGGAAGTTATAAGATAACAGTCTGAAGAAAACCATATCATTCTATATTAGGGTTTGTAACCCTTATTTATTTCGTTTGACACTGATGTAAATAATCATGGAGCTTAATATTACATGTATATCTGTAAAGAATTACACAATATTTGAAGTCTTTGACCAATCGGGAACTACTTTTTCTTCTCCCGAGAAGGCTTGAAAATTTAATGCGCCCGTCATTTGACAATCTTAACACAGTGATCCCCCCTTATCTTTTCAGCGTTAGAGTACATATAAAGGTAGATAACGCTTCCAGGGGTTCGGACTACTTTCTTATTTTGCAAATAAGCATATCAGAGCCTGAAATTTCGCTACCATTATTTGTTTTGTCTGACGACCCAAACAAATAAAAATGTAGTCGCCATTGCTTAAATTTTAATGTTTAAAGGCATGAAGCTTTAAAAAATAACTTTTAATTCATGTAATGATGTCATTTTTTGGTTTGGTTTCACGGCTCATAAAACTGACATTTCATGTGGCGACTTTCGAGTTTTATAAGTGCCCCTTTGGGTACAAATAAAGGAACGAACGGGCACCTGAGTAAAACGACCGACATTCTGTACGGTAGTAAACTTTCTCACATAAAAAATCGAAACATCGAAGTGACACTTTGTGGTCTCGTACCTACTTCGTGTAGTATATAAAACAGAACGCAGCCTCCAAAATCCATAGCATTTGATTGACAAAATGGGTATTATTAAATATCATTTTATTTTTAACACAAACACGCAAGCACACATATCCATGAACTCAAGTGTTTAATGCATCTTGAAATGAAAGTCCAAGATAGGCATAATTTTACCAAATTTCCTAACATGTTTATCCTTACACGTATATGTAACAAGGTTACCTTGTATAAACTACGGCTTACGTTACGATATATATAACAGGCCTTGTTCCCATATGGGTTCTTCAAATTATCAAATTATTAATTTTGATTTCACGTAAAACTGCGAAATATATTTGTCCATATTTAGATAATTTGATAATTAAGATACATGCAGTTAGTTTGGGACCCTGGCAGATTATTCATACCAAATATTATGTGGCCGAAAAAAAAACTTTAAACTTTCCGTGATTTAAAAAAATCCTCTTACATCAAAACCAGCGTTTTTCCTCCAAATTCGATTATTTAAACAACATTTTGCAAGGAACATATATTCCAACTTACTCCTAACTTCTTGTTTGTTTATATATTCATACTACGTTTAGACAGTCATTTATATATTCGAACAAACAAATTAAATGAAATAATAATCACACATAACAGATGTCCATGAATTTCACAATTCGTTTTATAATCAAAAGAATATACCTAATTGTTTCAAATGAAAATCAAAACAAAACAATGTCTTCCGTATTCCTCCCTAAAATTTTAACATTTTATAGCCAAATAATAATTGCTCAACATATAAAACCGAATTTTGCGCAACGTACTCTCAAAATTTTCTTTTATTTTTTTAATAATCCTGTTTACAACAAACTGTAGGCATAATGATACTTTGCAAAACAGGTCCCAGGGTTCTCGTTTAAATTAATAAAATGTATATCTATGAAAAAAATCACTCACATAATAATTGAAATTAATTTTTTTATATATTTTATTTTAGAATTGTTTCAAAGACAGAAATTGTGTGTGTACCGTATCTTTTGAAATAACAGTGTGTTCCGTATCATTTCAACATAACTTTATGAAAATATGCTAAAACATCATTGCATTCACTCGATACATTGGACATAGTAAATATATCAGATTTAACATGTATTTTTCTATGAAATAGTGTCAAAAAACATATGACTTGCTAGAAATCGCCTGTTATGCCAAATGAGTGTGTACCGTTCCCCTCGGGCCAGGCTATGAAAAGAAAACTGTACTCGAATGTTCTCAAAAACTATTCAGGGGTTTTCAGAATTTTGATATACCGTGGATAACTGATATAATTATGGGTACTCTGCGCCTTATCTGATCAAAATCGGTAGAGTAATAAATAAGTTATGAATAAAAAACATACATGAATCGGGGGAAAAATCGGCGTGTTCCGTACCCGAAAGGTCACGTGGTATGGCCACATTGATAAAGATGAAAGAAAAAGCAAATAAACCCCAAATGTTGGCAATTCCGTCCGTCCGTCTGTCCGTTATCTTTACTGTCGCACGTAACTCAAAAAGTATTTGACCTAGAGTCATGAAACGTAACTGGAATGTTGATCTGCACGTGCAATACCACGTGACTATGACGTCACTTTCGGCATCATTTCCAAGACAAATGTTGCTCGATTCGGAAACGAAAATAGATGTTAATATTTTATTTCTGTACCAATTTCTTTGGGATATGCACCAGTCTACGGGGAAAAATATAAGCTTTCCACAGAATATTGGATCTTCGTCAGTTTATAAGCCGTTTTATCAAACACTCTGCATAACCTTTGAAGTTGCTTGTATTAGAGCCTGCTTCAGTTGCAAGCTATTTCGTTTTCTGGCGTTATTTGGTCTACGTCATGATTAAAAAGTCAGGTTAACATCAACCGGGAGTACGGAAGGCAAAACTCTACCTAAATGTGTTCATATTTTTATTATGAATGACATCAATCTTAAATTTTAATTCAATTGTCAGTTGTGCACCTGAGTAATTTCGTGTGGATTTTTTCAGTATTTTTAGAGTTATTGCCCTTGACTTAGTAAACATGTGCAATTTTCAACTTGTGTCGCACGTAACTCAAAAGTATTTGACCTAGAGTCATGAAACTTAACATGAATGATGATCAGCATGTGTAGTTGTGCACATGGGTATTTTCATGTTGATTTATTTAGTATTTTAGAGTAATTGCCCTTGACATAGTAAAATTTTGCAATTTTCAACTTGTTTCGCACGTAACTCAAAAAGGATTTGACATAGAGTCATGAAACCTCAGGAATGTTGCTAAGCATATGTAGATGTGCACCTTGGGTTTCACTTGTGGAATTTTCCAGTATTTTTGTTATTGCCCTTGACTTAGTAAAACCGTTTTATAATGTTGTGTTATTTGTTCTTTGAGTGCTTGATTTAGAATCAACCAACTTTACAGGAATAATGATCACTGTGAAGCTATGCACCTGGGACTTTGTGAATTTTCTTTCACTTTTGTAAGAGCTATTGCCCTTGACTTACAGTAGTATAAATTTGTAATTTTAAACTTTCTCATTCATAGCTCAAAAAGTATTTGACTTGTAGGCCTGAAAGTTTACAAGAATGTTGGTCAGCATGTGTACTTATGCAACTTTGGGTTTGCTTGTGGATTTATACAGTAGTTATAAAGTTCTTGCCCTTTACTTAGTATTTTTTCGGTTTTCAACTTGTGGCTCATGTAGTCCAAAAAATATTTGACCTAGAGTCATAAGATTGACAGAACAGTGGAGTGTTGGGGCACCCGTGTCTTATGGACACATTTCTAGTTTATACTAAAGTGACGTGCTCTTATGGAGTAAAGTAGACTATATATCGGACGAGTGCAAAGCCACCAATGTAAAAATGATAAAACATGTTTGAAATTGACTTTTTTTCTGTTTTTGTATCCAGGAAATTACAATATGTCTTAATTTTCCATAATTTTTCATGAAAGGCCTTTTTAAATAAACAATTCTAAAAATATCAGTTGCTGCTGGGCCGCTAGACCGCCAACTTCAGGCTGTTATGTCGCCTGCATAACGCCTCAAGGCCGCAAACTTCACTCCGCTTGGTCGCCAGGCCACTAGGCCACTAACTTCAAAACTCAAAGTCAACCCTCTCGCGAAAAATTACTTGTCTATCTCTTTTACAGGAATACATGACAACTACACCAGTTATTGGAGGAATAGTAAAGAACAATGCAAAACAAAAATTTAAGCAAGAGCAAATTGTTGAAGTACAATGTTTCCCGCTCTATTCAATCCTTCTTGCATTAAATCGAACAAATGTTGATTTTCTAAGCTTAGATGTAGAGGGTGTAGAGCTTGGTGTTCTAAATACTGTACCTTGGAGAAATGTGAACATTACAATGATGTCAATTGAATTTGACAAGTGGCCGGGAGGAAGCGAGAGCCTTTGCATGTATATGAAGCGTAGAGGCTACACTTGTGGAATGACAATGTTCGCGGCTGGTGCAGCAGACGTTTTATTTCAGAAAAGAAATTGAGTATGTTTGTCATTTCTATCCAGATGCTGTGAAATTGTTGAAAGATAAAGTGATGACGTGAATGACACTGATAACAATACTTCAACCATCGCCCGCTTAAAAAGTATAATATTAAACTTTTATCTAGGGTAACGTTCACGCTAAGGAACAAAACTTGAACAAAAATATTCAATTAGAATGGTTTATCATTGTAGTTGTCTGAATATACGAGTTCATGTATTAAATGACTACCTTTTTAATATCCTGAAGTTGTCATTAGTGAACAAAAAAGTCTTGGTTTAAATATGTGATGACTGATATGAAGCAAATAGAAGACAGAGGGATCGTGTGAATTACACATGGGAATTGCATAAATAACAGAGAAGGAAAAGTCGTTTTTTTCTACTACAAGCTGTGAATCATATTTCAAAGAGCAAATCATCGTTTTCAAAACTAGCCGCATATTGAAAATCATAATGATTGTAATTGCAACATTTCACTTTCAGTACATCGTTTATGCCGAAACATAGTTACACCGTATTATTTGTTTATAACAGTTGGAGCTGTGGTCACTAAAAACCTGCAAAAGCATTCCACTCTTTGAATAAACAATGCCTTCCGGTTTACATAGAGAATATTTGATTGTTTGTGTGTATGATGAAATTTTATTTCATCGAGTGAGCTTTAAAAACAGAATTCTTACGAGTGGCGTGAGAATACTGTATTTAAAGTTCACGAGATGAAATAAAATTACAAATTACACAACAAACATTTTTTTATTTTATGCTTAAAACAAGTTTAAATGAAATTTTCTCAATATTAACTTTAATATTAAAATCTGTTTTCCCCACTGGTAGCCTCATTTTAGTCGACTTACAAGAAGTCTTGAGTTGAAAAATAAGTTTGACAATTAACGTTAAATGTCAATGATATTATTTATTTTATTCGCAAAATATGAATGATCGCATGTTTTAAAAATAAAAACAAACAATTCTAGTAGTAGAAAAAGTCACACCATCCGACCTTATTTTCGTTACTTACGGCGAATTTATATTAGACCAGGCTATGAATAATATAAACGGCCACCATTTATTAAAGTTGTGTATTTCACGGCTATTTGGACTTGTGAATCATACATCTTTTATAAGAAAGGAAACTTATTTGAGAATTTTACAGACAATAAATAATTGTTGACAGATGTGAAAATATTCAAAAAGCTTCTAAGAATTAGGAAATTAACCCCAAAACATGGAATTGGTGAAAGGGTGTCTTAGGAACGCTGGTTTGTTTACTTATTTTTCGGACTGATGGCTGTCATTGTTTTTCAAGTTTTCATATTGCATAAGGCAGTTATAACTCGTAGGATACTTAAATATGCCCACAAGTCATCAAAAGCAGTTTTGCATATGGAAGGAAGTGTATTTTTTTTTCAGACTGTAAAAAATGAAACCAAAAATTAAGGGACGATATTTGGTGATTGGTTATTTGAATGAATTGAAGCATTTTTCTTTCTTTTTATTACTTTTGAAGTTTAAGTTATTTATCAATTCCAGCTTTGCTTTTCTCTAAACAGCCCTGACAATGTCAGAATTGTCAACAAATATATAACTGAGGTACCACATGGGGAAAATCTTAAAAATAGTCTTCTCATTGAAAGTGTGAAATTATACTTTGATAATTTCCACTGTGAAATTATCAAATATAATTTCAGGGATAAATCAGTATTCCACTCAAAAGCATAAAGTAAAATTCATTTCTTAATGCTGTATACAAAATAATTATTTTATTCATCACGTTACTTTCAAAGAAAATAATACATGTACACTAAAATCGATTAGGGCAAATGATTTTCGTTGATTTCTTGTTACTTGGTACGTTTTGGACATGCAAACGATTATATAAATAAGTTGGCGTTAAAGTGTAAGAGAGAGGAATTATTCATTACAAGACACAATTTTGATTTATAATACAAGCTCAGACAAAAAAGATTTCAGGGATATTTTTTATTTGCGGTTACTTTTAAAGTATATATAGTTACAAAATTATCACAGTATTACACACATTTAGAAGACATTACTGAAACAATACGCTATAATAACGACTGACAGTACATGAAAAAATTCATAAAAGAATTATTCAAAGACATTCATAGGGTAAACATTGATGTAAATGCCATAGGCAATATAGACAAATCAATATATTAAAATTCATCACAATCAGCTCACACATACAGACTTTGTTACAAAAACAACACTTTTGAATAAAATACATGTACTTACAAAAAAAACAGTTTCTAGAAAATAACAAATCTAATAATTCGGGTATTTCTTTTAGCGACATCGATTTCATGTTTTCTTGTTAATTTGTTATTAAGAAGTCCCTTTGTTACCCGGTACCAGCATGTAGGTCCTTGCTGTTTCTCTTCGTCGAGATATCAGTATTTGTCTGATAACAAATCACCGAATCACCCAAAGGATATGTTGCCTGCTTTTAAAATCTGTCTTTTTTCCTCATATCTGTGATATGCACTCTCCATAACCTCTAATCCCCTTTCAAAATTACGTTTTATTTAGTTCCGCCCATTGTTTTCTCGTTTGGGGCACACACATTCGGTTACTTGGGGACTATACGCCGCTTTTCATGGAATGTCACATTGAAGTTTACATGATAACCGCCGTATGAACACAACACATCTGCGGATGTTTCTAAATTCAAAATTTGACAATTACCATGATTAAATGTTGGATTCTGCTTAAGCCGGTGCTAGGGGGCGTGGACGGTAACCTGCACCTTCCATTACCGTCTATGAACAGACGCAATGCAAACTGAGCCTGCAACATTTTAAATTTTGTCTTGTTGGGCTTCCTTTAGGGATTCTTTATTTATCTCTATTTTATAATGAAGGGTTATTTTGATTTTTGTCATGTTTTGATAAACAAGCACAGTACTTTTCTGATTTAACTTCATAATGTAACCTTAAAGCAAATATATGTGCATTAACTGTTAGCAACATAAAATATTTGTAAGGTAACTAAAACAAGGAAATAAGATTGTAAAGGCGTCAAGGTCCAAATGTTCGTTTACCTAATGCATAATTTGAACAAAGATTTCGTCTCTGACCGAAAAACGGTCCCTGTAGTAATATATATAAATATATTCACAGCAAAATGAATTTGTCCGACAGTTTCAATCATAATTTTACCCACAGAGAACAAGATATATGTGCATCCTTGCTTCGTTCTGAAGTAAAAGTTTAACACATACATAACTGACACCGGAAAAGTGCTCAGAACAAAAACTAATGAGACATACAGTAGCACGATAGTATGGACAGACGACATCTTAGCGGTGTTGTGTATTTCAGACGCGCCAATATCATTATGCCGTTCATAACTGATGTAATACAATAGGCGAATATTAACAATCATTATAAACAATGGCAAAACAAAAAACGAGAATATTTCAGTCATGTACGCCCAAATTACAAAGAGTGAATGTTCATCCCCGACTAAAACCTCATCCCGGATGATACACACACCATCTTCATACGACCAGAAATAGCCATGAATCGCGCTGAGACAAGCAGAGAGAAGTCCTAATATAATTGTCACAATAATTGCTTTCTTTTGTGTGCAGAAATAGAGCCTCTTTAAAGGGTGGCATATAGAAATATAGCGTTCCACACTAAACGCCGATACTAGAAGGGGATCCATGTACTGGAAAAAATAGAAAAAGATCGGGAAAACTTCACATATAACTGGAAAACTTAAGAGCCGAATCCCCCAGTAAATTTCAACAATGAGGATCAGATAAAGGTGTAGAAAAACTAAATGAACCAGTGATAATGCAGCGAGGTAAACACCGGACGCATTCTGCATGCGTGGTCTAATCCAAACTAGGAAAGCAAGCAAGTTTCCAGGAATTCCAACCGCAAAAATACACTGTACAAAGTATTTTCGAAACAAAGTTGCAAAGTACAGAGTTTCAATGGCATGCAAACAAGTATTGTCATTGGTGATATTTAATGTTTCCGTTGACGTCATATGTTGTGCGCTAGAGGACGTATTCTCGTCTGCGCGAAATTGTGTTGTTGTAGCATTATCTGTCAGATTTTCCATCTGAAAAAAATCAGACACAACATGTGCACAGTCTACAGTATTTCCTTCAATTCAAGAGAATTTCAAGATTTGTTTGTAAAATAAAAAAATATAACACATACATGTATAATTAAAGACAGAACTTTAATCTGTAATAGTCATGATGTATTCGTAAAAGTAGATTTACGAAAGGGATACCTTCAACACTTCAAAATCACCGGCGCTTCGCCTGATATGTGTGGGATTTTGTACTTCTTTTGTATGAATAAACTTGGAAACATTGGTAAAAGGTACGGAATATTTGACTGTCTGAAATGCTTAGAATTTTCATTGAACTTTATCAAAAGCATACTAAAACACACACTTAACAAATTCGATTCAATAGATTTCCTAATCAAAATGTTGTTTTAAAGGCACATGTAGTTTTGAAATAAATAAAATTGTGTCCTTTTCTGATGTTTAAATAATGTATTAAGGGCATGTTAATTAGATACTTGTCAGGCGAAGAAATTAGCATTGTAGTAAATGTAGCAAAATGTTTAAAATGAGACGTTTTGTCTTGAGAAATAATGTGGGTTTTTTTTCGGGGCCTACTGGGCCTTTACCTCAATCACCGCTTACTATGCTTATACATGCAATTATATATTTCATTTTGGAACGTTTTGTGACCTTGTCTATATCACCTTTAAAATACAAAAACAACAAGACTGAGAAATTTTATACTACATGTATATCATACGATTTATATTTCAAAACAAAATTATATCAATCCAAATCCCATAAATGTAATATCTAATTTAAACCAAAAAATGCTACTTTTTACTTAAAAAAAAAACACAAAAAATCTTTGATATTCTGTTAAAAATTCCAAAATGTTGCTCATTAGCCATACAGCGTAGCCAAATTTGCTTCTTTAGTTGTTTAGCTATTAGAATTGTTGTAGTGATTTAGTATTTTGTATGGAAGTCAAAATACTACTTTGTTTGCTTTTGACTACCTTATCACAAATAATTACATACTAAGCGCTATTTTCTTCTCTGATAAATCCATTATCACAACATAATGAAACATATATTTACTCTTTCTTCACAAATATATAATTATTCAGGCTTAATGTGCCTTAAATATTATAACAAGGCAACATTGTTACATCTTTCGTTAAACTTGATACACAATTCACAAAAAATAATTTGCAGTACCAGTAGTGGTATCTTTTAAAAGTCTTATAGTCCACAATATATTCTCTATTGTAAAGGAAACTATAAAAGACTTATAAATAGACTTATAAGAATTATATTACCTTTCGATAAATTTCGATTTATTCCAGATTTCCAATTTAGAGATTTCCGCGTAGTACGACTGAATAGTGTATAGTTCGGTGGTGGCGGTGTTTGTAGTTTAGACTCACGGCAGTAAGGCACTTCAAAATCACCAGAGCACAGTTTAGCCACTGTGTGAGAAGTAAGCACACATAATTCACATTAAATAGCAGATAAGTGATCGTTTTGATTGGTTAATGTAAATGCGTGAGTGGTTGTAATAACTCCATTTAGACTCTAGTTGTAATAAAAGCAGGTAATATTTTGAACTACATTGCTTGTATTATTTTCCAAATCTGTAATTCAAAAAACAATTGCTCCGAATTTTTCTCAATTTAATAAATATACGAGTAATATAGAAACAATTTATTTCCATCTAAACACAATTTTTCGGTACTTATCTTTTCAGATATTGTTTTAATAAAAACAGTTATGAAGATTTTGTATTTTTAATGGTTTTAATAAAACTGGTTATATCTTATTTTTATCATTATATCCATATCATTATTAGCACCGTTATTTAAATAAATCTTCTGGGTCGTATTATTTTAATAACAACAAAAAATACGCCAATTGAACAAACAATATTATATAAAATCGTTGTAATCTTACTTCAAATATTTCGACAATAAAGATTTCATTTGTTGTTTTAATTTTGATATTAGGTGTTATATTATATGAATTATTGGTATATATGATAAGGGCTTAGCTTTATAAACAGTCTGTATATCAAATAATGACATATAAGATACCAAATATTAGTGTTATACGGGTAATTCATATTTGATTGTTAAACTCTGAAGTTTTAGTGGCTACGTGATCAACAGACTTTAGTTTTTTTTTATATTTTCAGCCATTTTTACTTGGCTTCATAACCTTTGAACACCTTTCACTTTTCAAAATTTAATTAAGGTAGTTCGGTTCATTACTTTCTTGTTTAGGGAAATGGGGGTCATATATTGCTTTCACACAGAAGGTTCTATGACTACCACCGTACGAATACACCTGCATTCTCACTTTGCCATTTATAAGTTTTGAATTTCGCTTGAGCCGATGCTTAAGTATGCATGCTTGTTTTCACTATTACTGTCGATAAACAGGCTCAAATTTGCCGGCCGTTTAAGGGCGGTTCATAAAAGTCATCATTCTATCAAATAACAATAAAATAAAAATTAGGATAGCATTATTATGAATGAACGAAAACAAAACAATGTTTGTATAAATACATGTACAGATATGCCGATGTAAATGGCTTGGTACTGGTCCTTGTTTAGGTGTTTTCCTGTGGTACAATGATAAATACTGCTCTCCTTTCCTAATAGATTTTTTATCAATTTAATCAGTTATGGTTTAAAACTAGAAAAAGATTAAATCTGTAAAATTGACATTACGCCGCCTGTCAATCAAACTGGCAGGGGTCACAGAAATAAGCCAATCAGCAATCGTTATCAGTTCCACGCTAAAATGTCTGTTCCTAAGACAAGCTACTTGTCTAAGACAATGGTGCAGAAGTAATTTAGATTGAAATTATTTTAATTTTCTGTCAATTTAAAGCTTTTTATCGATATATTAATTAAGTTACCAAATATACTGACGTATTGACAGATCGAGTACATGTATACAAAAAGTCAATAATTTCCTACATATGGAAATAATAAGTACGAAACACTTATCCTGGCTATAATACAATGCATTGAAAAATGAAACGGTTTAAACAAATCCACTTTTTTATTTCCATTCTTTCTATTGATAATCACATTGCATATTACCAGGTCCTAGAATATCCAGAAGATATGACATTTTTTCGTTTATTACGTATAGCGTCAGTAAAAACGCAGCCGTAAAAATGCAAATATAATGAGTAAATACAGCCAAAGAGTGGGTGAAATTATCTTACCTGAATATTTCTATTCAAGTTCAATAAATTAACATTAAATATTCAAATAGATCTGCTTAATACGAAACTTATACCAATAACATCATATCTGATGTGAAGCTTATTTTAAAGAGAATAACGTTGTATTTTGTCGTGAATCATATCAAATATATGTTAACAATACATAATCACATATCATAAAAAGTAAGCAAGGACATGCAATTTTCTGAATCAATTTTAACAATTCATAAACAAATTAATGTATTATTTAAACTGAATTTCACACATAAAACCCGAAAAATGATTTTAAATTAATTTGTGTCACTAATATAACTTTACTGTTTTTGTTTCGCTAATTCAATTTCAAAATAAAACGATCATAACATAATCATATACTTTTCTACATATAATATCTCTTTGAATTTGTAAGATATAATGATATTCTGTCAGTTTTAAATTTTCATTTGAAATCAACAAGAAATAACACGATCTTTGGAAAACGTTTCATGCGTTATTATTACATGAATGCATATATTTTCCCCCCTTTTTTGAAATACCATAATACATTTATACATTGAATAATATATCTACTATTCAATAAAATATTAGAAGCATCAAAATTTTATATACACAAACTTTATATAAGGTAAATTCATTGGTAACATTAGTGTAAATACATCGGTACCGTATTTTTACCGGGTCACGTGAATCAGTGGGCGGAGCGATCCCTTCCCTGAAGTAATGTCAATTGGAATGCATGACTTGTAAAGATCGTTGACCTCAGGTCACTAGCCCACATGTCATTTCTTTGTTCATGTTGTTGTCCGTTAAGGCAGATAATTATATGTCATTTATTGTCCAAACGAGGAATTTTGCAAGAAATTTAGCAATATATACGCACAGACGGCGTCGAAATGGTGTTTGAAATCGTACACGAGTTTACTATTTTGAATGCTAACTGAAGACAAAACGTCTTCTTATTCCTGATTTAATAATCATAGCAAAATCATAGCAAAACAGAATGACAAAAAAATACTTTAGGAAACATTATTCAAGCATCTCAAAAAGAAGTGATAAACGTTAAAAGGAAAACCAGAATTATGTTTACATGTCACGCAAAAATGTACACTTGTCACGCAAAAATGTACACTTTTTCTCTTTGAACTTCCATACAAAGGTTTGTTCCTGTTTAATAGCAAACTGTTCCAGTGGTATCCTGTTTACTGACGCTATTATGTAACATCGGGTTCTCCTCTGTGAGTTGTATTTTATGAAATTATCAAAAGCAGTACGTGCACAAAAAGACATGGACTGTTTCATCTATATTCGTTCCGTTACATGCCCCACGACCGATCATGGGATAATGTATACGTCAGCAGGTTGGACTCTGTTTATTTTTAACAAAAGTTTTGTTTCCTCCCTAAACATTGCTCCTGTGGTGAAGTATATAAAGAAATTCAGTGCAAAATGTGTTTTTTCAATAGTTTCAATTATAATTTTACTTGTATATAATAAGTGCACTGTACAGTCTTGCTCTGACAAAAAATATAGCTGCAACAGATAAATTACTGATACTGGTAAAGTTGTCAGTATAAAATAGTATGAGACATAGAGTAATAAGGTCGTGTGTGCAGACGACTTCTTTGCTGTATGCTGTTTTTCAGATCCGCAATAATTCTGGCCTTGTTTGTTACTGATGTAACGCAGTAGACGAATATTTAAAAGCAGTACGAACATTGGTACGATAAAAAACGACAGCAGTTCAGTTATGATCGCCCAAACTTGCCATACTGAACCTTGACCCCCAATTAAAACCTCACTTCGGATAAAACACGTATTTTCTTCATAATACCAGAAGTAGCCTTGAATTGCACTGAGCAAAGCAGAAAATACACCTAAAACCAGTGTGAAAATGGTTGCCTTCTTCTTTGTGCAGTATTTGATCCGTTTAAATGGATGATAAATAGAAATGTAGCGTTCCACACTAAATGCTGACACAAGAAGCGGGTCCATATACTGAAAGAAGTAATAAAGGACGGTGAAAATTTCACATAATCCAGGAAAACTTAAAAGTCTTACTCCCCATCGCATTTCAAGATTATAAATTGAGTATAGAACTAAATATGATAAATGATCAATGGCCAATGCCGCAAGGTAAACACCAGATGAATTTAGCATGTGTGGTCTAACCCACACAAGAAAAGACAGTATGTTTCCAGGTATTCCAACGGCTGTGATGTATGGTAATGAGTATTTTTGAAACAAAGCTGAAGATTCATAAATGTACATTGTATTTAAACATTTCTTGCCATCAGTGACATTTGTGCTTTCCGTTGCCTTAGACAATGTAAAAAGAGGAGATGCGTTATCATGCGCGCCGATATCTGTTCTTGCTGTTGTAAATAGTGCTGTTATTTCCATCTGCAAAGATAATATCAAACATATATATGTTTATATGTATATTAAGCTTCAAGCATTACCTTTTTAGTACGAAGAATTTTAACTTACTTTCAAGGTATTTAAGAACAAGAGTATGTTTTTTCATACAGCTTCTCGATGCAGTATACACAATGAATGTTTTAACTGTTGGTATTATTATGGACTTTTTGATAAAAGCAATGACTTGCCTACGTGTTCATGTGAACTTTGGTCAATTATAAATTATTCGTTTTGCTGTTATAATATTTTGAGGTTTTGATTCTCTTATTAACTGAAGATTCAAAATTCACTTAGGAATATCTTTAAATCATTTTACACAGTTTACGCTCATAAAAGTGGTTTCAATCCCTCTGTAGTGTAACAATGCTGAAAATATCATACGAAACAATGTTGGGAGTAAACATTCTTTGATTATATATCAAAACAGGGAGTTTGTAAAATTAAAACTTCCCACCCAATTGTTTAACAGGAAAAAATATATAATTTTAAAAGAAAGTATTTGAATTGAGCATACAATGTCAAACTAAATCGAGTCTGACGACATATCCAATATAGTATCTATACAATAAACATTTGTATATTTTATTTTCAAATATTATCTCAAGTGTCATTCTTTACTTTAAACAAAGCATTTTATATTTTGTTTATTCTAAACGAATTGTTATACCTAGAAACAAAAACTGTACTCCTACGAACTAAAGCTCACCTTTTTGCTGATTCAGATCCAAATGAATTCAAATTGCTTGTAATGTAATTTTAAACTACAGCACACAATCTCAATTAAAACCCCAAAGCACTACAGGCTATAATTGATTGATATGGAATAGCTTTTAAGACTCCCTAAACAGATGATAATGTCCTGTTGAGTCCCTCAGGATCATTGTATTGAAGCGATGAAAGTTTTAATCCAGTGAAAGACATTGAATGTTATATATAGCCATCTAGCATACATAAATAATGAAAGTTTGTTAAATAATGCAAAAATGGGGTATACATGGGGATACAAAAGCTAATAGATGGGACACGAGGTAAACATTACAATGAACACCTCCCTAGTGATGTTGTTCCATTAAATGTTTACTAATTTCTGCTCATTACTTTACTGGGTTGTTTATCGTATCAACAGTCACACTATAAAATCATCGCGTGTTATTCTTACCATAATTATGGTAATCACCCGTGTATATTTCTTCAGTGACAATTGATTAATAAAAGTAATTGCCTTGCCATAAAATGACAGGATCCTGGCTGGATGGAGAGTTAGGATATTAATGTAAACATAAAAGTTAGATAAAGAGAGAATACAGATATGTTTGATAATGAAAGACTCATCATATCCTCATATTGATATGCAAAACAATAAAGTGACTCCACTAAGTTTATTTGACATGACGGGGCCGCAGATGTTTTCAAGAGTTTTTGTTTAACCGGATATAGGTCTGGACGAATAACTCGTGTTCAAAATTTATAATTATTCGCACACTTCGTTTCCCACAGATAATCAATTTTATTGTGCAAATTGACCCTATTTAAAATGGAAATCGATGCAACGCTTTTCACTCAATTAGGGTAAACATTGCATAAAAATCGATTATTACACTGTATTTGAATACCGAATATATTCAAATATTAACAATTGCATAGTTTTCTGTTTTAAGTGCACCAGTTGTTTTCTGAAAGAAATTAAGATTTTATGATTTTAGGCTATTGGACCCCAGTGAAGTTCCTTTAACGTTTATGAAATTAACAAACGAGTAAGAAACAAAATATAATCAATGTTAAAAGGTTCTGCCAAATTGGTTGTGTCTTGATTTTCATGTCAACATCTGTCGTCATTTGCTAAATCCAGAAAATAACATAACATTATATCATAAGTAAACAACGAAACAAATGACGCCGTATCTCTAAGTCAAGCCTATCAAAGATATTATGGAAATTTGGCCGTATCATTCATCCATCAAAAGCAATTCCATCATTTATATAATTGGGTTTGATATATTATTAAAGCCTGGTAACTCCGAAAATATCCACTCTTTCACGGTATCAAATATCTTTGTTATGTAAGTTTATATTTTTCAATGCTTACATGTATTGTATAAGTACTTATATCTATTGATACATGTAGGTTTATCTTTGAAATATCAAAAATCTCTTCATATGGTATCTGGGTTCATTTGTTTTGTTTTGTTTTGTATTTATTTTATGTCAATCTAACCTACAAAAGCATGTCTAATAGCAGACTGACAAGATGGATAAAGTGAGAGTTGCTGGTGCTCAATTTGTCTAACTTAACTGAAAAGTAGTTCCGCTAACGTTTCAGTTGGGTTCACATTGAAATAAAGCAACAATGATAACCGATCAGGAGTTTATTTATTAATAACTATACAATAGAAATCCGGTGAAACTTGTCAATCTATCGCCGTAGAATGTTAGATCATTATGACGTTCAACAGTTACAGTCACGGTGTCACCGGCCTTAAGATCCATCGTAGCCGTCACAGAACTATGCTCATATTGACCTTGGTTATAAGCAAATGCACCTGCAATCTCAGCATTATTTTTTTCAAGAATAACGTGCATATTCAGATCTTGAGTGTTGCCGCCATTCATCATAACTGACGTGGAAAAGACATAAATTCCACCTACTGGTGCAATGAAAGTTCCATTTGCGGCGTTGTACCCGTTTCCTACATTGAGAGACACGTCATCAAAAACGACCCTGTCGTGAATGTTGTTGTGTTGTACAAACTTCACTGCTGCGATTGTAGCTTCAAATGCAACTGTCTCTAGAGTATCCAAAACAAATCTTTTCTTTCCATCTACAAAAGATGAAACTTTGACAAACAGTAGACATGTATAAAAACTGTCTGTTTTATTGACTGCGTGACATGACTATATAGTTTAAAGAAAAAGTACTTCAAATATTGGGTGTAAAGCTTTAACTTGTGAAGTATACAACAAATATTTCAAAACCTGCGCAACAACATTGCTTTCATATTCTTATTATACTTGAAGAAATCTTTTTGCAAAAAAAAAACAACCAACAAAAAAAAACATCATATATTCCTATAGTTTTAAGCAAATATAAACATCTAATAATTCGTCCGCCTAAAACTATTAGATTGTTATTTAAAATGTGTTATATAAAGATTTTAGAAATGCGCCACTACCTTATCGGAATTTTACAAATATAAGTGTTTCCCAAAAAGTAATCACTTTAGTATTGTTTATTGTGAGAATATCAAAAATTTTTCTCCAAATGGCGTCCACTTGGATAGTTAGATTGCAATTAATCTGAAGACATTATTTTTTGCAAAGAATTCATATTCTGTTAAGACTTGTTTACAGCAAATTGTCCTATCAAATACATTTAACACTGTGTTAATGAATTAACGTATAGCTTAAATGATGTCACGTGTTTTACCAGTTACTCTGTCATCTCTGCGTATCCGACTAGCCTTTACGATATCATTATTAGGTTTACTGGATTCACCGTTTGTTTGCATCCGTGGCTGCCTCAAAATTTTCACAAGACGCTTTATTTTGCGCTCATATTTCATTGTTTTCAGTTTCAGTTCGTATAGCTCATGCTCAACTATCTGTTTGTCATTGTCCTGTGAAGCTGCTCTCTCGGATAGTTCGGCTATTGTCTTTTCCTGTGCTGAAACAGTATTTTCGAGAGTCCTTATCCGCAATGCTTGTCTTTCAACTGCAAAATACAATCCATATCATAATAAATACAGTTTTAGTATTGATGCTCAAAGAAAACAGTTGATATTTCTAAATGGATTTCTTTCATTTATTTATCGGCACTTGATTTGCAAGTTCAATACATCAAGAATGAAATTTCTATCTGTACAAGTGCACAAGAATATTTTTTTTTATTATTTGCAAACAAATATATTCCCTTAAGCAATGTATGATTAAAAATCATAAACAAAACCTTTTGATTTGTTATTTCAATTATGACATTATCAGATTTGACCAAGTTCTTGAGTTCTTTGACTTCAAATACTTTCCCCTTGCTATAGGCAAATTAATCAAAGATCCCAGGTGAGATTCGAATCTACAGCAGAATACACAAGTGAGCTGAGGTCAGTGTCCTTAACTACTCGATCACTGAAGCGCTAAATCGCACAACATAGTCGAATGTAATTTGTTGACATGTACGATAGAGACAAGAGGTTGACATTAATATTCTATGTTCTATATAAAATTGTACAACACGAAAAAAATGAAGAGCAAAACAACAAATAACTTACATTTATTCTCTAAGGAAAGAAGACGCTCATATACGTCATGTTGCGCAGTGCCACATTGAGCATCATTTATAGTAACCAAGGTTACAAGAAAGATCGGCAAAATAAACATATTGTGATGATTTCTTACCAAAATATGTTATTTTTGTGAAAATACTCAAAATTTGACCTACATGGAGATAAAAGTCACAGATAAGATTATATGCAGCATTTAGGTCAGACAGAAAATTTATCTCTAAAAATCAAATGACATACACATTAAGTCAAAATCTAATTATTCTCTTACATACCAGAAAATGAAATACTAATGAAATACATGTAAATGTATTCTTTTGTACCACTATCTTTTTTTGTGCACTATCATAATTATCATCATTTTATAAGGATGCATCGTAAAGGTTCGAATACGACAAAGGAAGACAGATTTATACAATAACTTAGCATGATATATAAGAATGGGATATAAAAGATAATTATATTTTAATGGCGAATAATGTAAACGATCTCAGTACAATATTTCATTGTATAAAAAGAATGCTCATACAGAAGCTGACTCCGATCAATTGTTCTCATACAATAAAACAAACTTTTTTCAATGTTATAAGAGATGATATCAAGTATAGAGCAAAACAGAATTTAAAAAATTAAAATTTTATTTATAGGAGACTCTATTGATCTTTTTTAAAATCAAATACATTTTTAAAAGTTTAAACTTGAATATATACAAAAAGAAAATATGTTGTTTTTTATTCAAATTCCACATGGCAATTATCAACAATCAATATGACGTCAACAATTTATTAACATCCACAATATCAATAAAAAAAACATATATGTAGAAATAGATATAAAGTATGAAATCAGTCTGATTAAAACGATGCAAGTTTAATATACTATTTTTGGTTGATTCAATCATTTTCTGAGGTTGTGTTTGGTTGTTTGATTTTTCGTTTGTGTGTTTGTTGTTGTTGTTTGTATGAGATCGTGGCAGAACTTATTTCACGGATTTTCCTCCAGTCTTACGACGACATTATCAAGTTACAAACGCTAGTTACACAGAAATCTGAATAATAATAATAAAAAAAAAAATCTTTATTTATTGAAGGTAACATACAAAGTTTACAGTAACAAATATACTTATTTTCAGTATGGCCTTTTGATTTAACAATAACAAAGAAAAAAATGTAGATCTATACAAATATTTAAAATCTTTCGGTATATATATATATAAAAATTTAAAAAAATGAAAAAATATATATATTTTTAAATGTAAAGGTTAGATAATTTTTATTCATTCATCCGACTGACTATTATATTGTTACAGTAATTATAGATAAACTCGTAATGATTAAAAAAAGAGAGAGAAAATGATGATATCAACATTTAAAACAATATAAAGTGATCAATTTAAAATAAATTTAACAGTTGTTTTTGAAAGATTGTAAAGTCGAACATTGTTTGATAGTAATAGGTAATTTATTTCAAACGTCAATACTGAAATAAGAAAAAGAATTCTTTAAATAATTTGTATACTTTTCAGTACAAGATCTTTATGAGCGATTGAGCGTAAATTATGTTATTCATTGTGAGAGAAACTAAAAATTTCACTCATATATAACGGTGTCAGATTGTTTAAAGATTTATACACCATAATTGCTGTGTGGTATTTCACTCTGAAATTGAATTTCAGCCTTTAAGTTTATTAAAAAGATCTAATGTTGGTGAACGTATCGGTCTATTAAGTGTAATTTTTGCAGCTCTTTTTTGAATAGAGTTTATTTTATTGATGTGTGAGTATGTGTCCTTTCCCCATACTGTAATTATTGTAATTCATAACGTTCAAATTATGTCAGTACACTATTTCAAACAGTATCAAAATACAATACACAGTCAAAGTAACATGTTAATCTCTTTTAAAAGGAAATGAAGTTTTTCGAAAAGAATGTGTATGAAAATGTTCTATTTTTTCACGTTTAATATTGCTGGAGCCCAATTCAGGGTAGGTATGGCACTGTTTTCATTTCATCTTTGATAAGACTGTGATATTGCAATACAGTTATGTCATTCTTTGACATATTTTATATTCATGCTATCATAATTAATGCTGTTTGATATCAACTTCGTGTATTCCTATTTACCAGCATCAATTTTTGATTCCGTGTTTTCCTCTGTGTCGCATGTATCGTAAACTGACTGACGACAGATTTGTCATGACGTCACTATGAGACAACCGTGCATAAACTTCAAGATCAGTTTACGTCTGATAATTTCCGTCGAGTGCCGTTTAAAACGTAATAACCTAATTGTTAACGTGCATATACTTCAGGGTTACGTAATTTATTTATTTTAAGCAAAAGCTTTGTCTCTTCCCGAAAAACTGCTCCAGTGGTGAGATATATGTAGAAATTCAATGCATAGTGCGTGTGTCCAATAGTTTCGACAATGAGTTTACTCACATAAAATAACAGAACAGCGCAGTCATTCATCACGTTAAAGTATAGCTGCAACAAGTACATTACTGACACCGGGAAAGTTGTCAGTATAAAGTAAAATGAGACGTAGAGAAGCACGGTTGTATGAGCAGACGACTTCTTTGATGCGTGGTGCACTTCAGATTGGCCAATATCATTGCCTCGTTTATATCTGATGTAATATAAAAGGCGAATATTTAAAACCAATATGAACATAGGTAGGACCAAAAACGACAACAGTTCAGTTATTAGCGCCCAAACTTGCCACACTGAACTTTGACCTCCGACTAGAACCTCACCTCGGATATTACACGTATTGTCTTCAAAATACCAGAAGTAGCCTTGAACCGAACTGAGCAAAGCAGAAAATAACGCTAAGCCCATTGTGACGATAATCGCCCTTTTCTTTGTGCAGTATTTGATCCGTTTAAATGGATGATAAATAGAAATGTAGCGCTCCACACTAAAAGCTGATACAAGAAGCGGGTCCATGTACTGAAAGAAGTAATAAAGGACGGGGAAAATTTCACATAATCCAGGAAAACTTAAAATTCTTATTCCCCATTCCGTTTCCAGACCATAAATGATGTACAGAACTAAAAATGATAAATGATCGATGGCTAATGTTACCAGGTAAACACCAGATGAATTTAGCATGCGTGGTCTAATCCAGACAAGAAACGAAAGCAAGTTTCCAGGGAGTCCGACCACAATGATACATGGTGAAAAGTATTTTTGAAATAAACTTGCTGATTCTAAAATGTGTGTGGCATACAAACAAGCTTTAACATCAGTGAAGTTGGTGGTTTCCGTTGTCGTAGCAAACGTTAAAGAAGAGGACGTGTTCTCATGCGCGCTGACATCGAATGATGTTGTAAATGACGTTTGATTTTCCATCTGAAAAATCAAAAATAAGCATAAGAAAAGGTAGACATTTTAGGGCATACAAAGTGGGATAAATAATACAGAGTGTTCTTAAAGGAAGAATGATAACTATCAGTACCCATTTGGGGGATGTTTGAGTACTCAGTTTAACAAAGCAGCGTGTGTGAGTGCGTGACAGTCTTGGGTTTCTCAGCATTTGTTTTTTTTTTATTTTTGTTTTCCTCTTTCTTTTTCTTTCTTTTATTGTTGCTGTTGTTGTTGTTAATATTGTTGTTGTTGTTGATATTATATATCTATAAGTAGATAAATTACATCATGCATTAAGATAATAATGATTTTAACAATCATAACAGTGGCATTGCTTCCTTTAGGCCGCGATGCCGCGACGTTCGCGACCTACACATCTGCCAAGGAAAGTGAGGAAAAGTATAATTCATTTATTTTTATACAAACAATTTCTTATACCCATAAACTATTTATAAATTTTATTGTACTAAGTGTACGCTAGAACGCACCTCCCACAATCCAGACCAAAATAACAATCATTATAATAATCATAAATATAAAATGATATTTAATCATAAATAAACAATGATATTAGCAACAATAATAATAATAATAATAATAATAATGTTTTTCATCATCAATATCATCTTCATTATAATCATAATATTAACTTAAAAATAATAATAATAAAAATAATAACTGTAAAAAAATATTATAATGTTAATAGTAAACACAAACAAAAAATCAATAGTATGTAAAGTTAAAAAAGCTGCGAATAATGTTTAAATCGTGTTAATACAATTTTTTACTAAAATTTGTTATATTCAAAACAAAAATCTTTTATAAAATTATGGTTCACCTGTCTGTCAGTTCCAAATTCAATCCAATAATGAACTCATAACCTAATGTGAAACAATCACTTAATACATATCTAGAGGTTTTAATTGACTGGTTGTCTCTCGGGACCATCGCTGTCGAGTGGTAGAGATTTTGATTCCAGATAGAAACGTAGTTTGGTTCTCCTGTATTGACATCAAAGAAACCAGTTTTCAACAACCGGCCTGCGCCTGTATCCTTCCGCATGCCAAAAGTTATTAAATTTAAAATGATGATGCTACATTGTAAGTATTAAATGTAGCTGCAAATATAATGCAAACAAAACGAATTTTATTTAAGTGCATACAGTCCTTTGATTTGCTGCAAAAAGCTCATCTGTGAAATTTTCATAATGTGTGCATAAACAGGACCTGAATTGCGTTGCCATTTGATACGATGATTTTATATGTTAAACTATATTGAACTCGGCGTAATAAGCGGTGTCCAATATAGGTTTTGCAGCTGTGTACAATCAATGGGTCAAGTGTACATTATCGTCATTATTTAAATATATTGAGACCTACTTTAATCTACTAAATTGATTGATCAACAAATATTCTACCTTCAGGGTAATTTTGTGATATCATACCATTAAAAACAATTAATTTTTAAATCGTTTTTATTTCCACTAACGCGTAGCTATAGGGCCTTTATTGTATCAAGCAATTATTCATCAATCAGTGATGCTGTATATGTATTGATTTCTTATTTAAAATTTGCCGTCTATTGTTGTATTTTAGCTGAGTGAGTACAAGAAGCAGTTCCGTACCTTGCGAAAAAGCCGTTTAAAAAAATAACTATGTTTTTGTCTTTTAAAAGCGGCCGAACGTATTTGATCCGGGCAAAACTAATTTATGTTTGTTCAAGTATGCGATCATTACACTGAAATTGTATTGCATATCGTCATCAGTTCGGATGAATCACGTGTCTGATCAGAACTTTATGTATTTTGTTGCTGGTGATGTTGTTTAAACCTAAAGAATAGCAAGTTTGTGTTACAAACAAAATTAGAATTCCAATCCTTAGCGAAAGCTAAGACAGTAAAATTCAATATGTTAGTGTGACCTTAAACAAAGACAAGAACATCGCAGCAAGATTTTAACAGTCCAAACCTTCGTGGCATACATCTAAAATAAAAAATGTTGTTACATACTGAAATTCATTAGCCTATCTTGAATATGTTAGGAGTTCGCGGCAACCATGAATTTGACCATGTGGAGAAAGAATCTCATGAAATGTCAAAATCATGTATTCATCTAGCTTGTGTACTTTTTTGGTCGTGGATTGTTTATTTTTCACCTTGACTTTCGGAAATTTTACGGGTAATTTGATCTTATGTTCCTTGGACAGGTTCCAACGGTTGAACCTTATTTACCATGGTATAGATACTTCTTGTTATTTATCCAAAGATCCATCTGATTAATATCAGCCAACGCTAAACATTAGGATATAACGGGCACCAATAGGTCACCTTCTCGTGACCTTTCAAAAAGCATCACCGGGGTCAGGTCAATTTTAACCTTAAACAAACTTGGGTAGAGACGACTAGGCAGTGTTGCATACCAAATATCTAACCTCTTGTCCATGCCGTTTTTAGAAGATATTTTCAGTTTAAACTATTTAAGGAAATATCACGAACACTGTCCGGGTGGAGATAGTTTTAAATCAAGGGCTATAATTTAAACAAACTTCACATACATCTACATTTTATGCCAAACATCTAAGCTTTAGCCCTTGTGAATTCAGAGGAGAAATGTCTTTTTCTTTTCTTTCAGTTGTCATGGCAACCAGAGTTATGCATGTTATTGTAATCTTTGAACACATTTGAAAACTATTCATGCCAGAACCAATCCTGCTTAGTTTTAACTTTGACTAATAGATGGGTAAGGAGGACCAAAAGTTGACGACGCTGGACGGACACAGTACGGTCGCAATAGTTCACCATGAACTAAACTAAAAAGTCAACTACTCTCAAATTGCTATTACTAGTGTTGTATGGTGTCGGTGAAATATGGCATTAACTTTTCTTTTCCTGTGTTACTATGTTTCTGCTTCATCGGTAGCATTGAAACAAGTGTCAACTCCAGTAAGTTATGGAATGTAATCGCACTACGGTACAGACGGTGACGTAAATCGGTGTGACGAGTTTGATCAGCTTAAAAATTAAATAAACAACAACAATATTTCTTTTTTACACAGTTTTTTTTGTATAATCATTACATAATAACAATAGACTTTATACAAATTTAAAAAATGCTTAATATTTTATAAAGTAAATTTCTCAAAAGACCCATGGGGTTATGTGCAAATTAACCAGTGATCATGAATTAATACTAGAAATGTGTCATCATGCCACGGATGCCCCCGCATGCAGCCAAAATTTCAGATGTTATAATATTTATAGTTCCAAATTTGTTTGCACAAATTATTTTTTTCATTTTAAGTTCAAAGCCCTTAAAACTTTTCAATGTTAACACAAACCATTTTTATACAATGTTGAGGGCACTGAAATTATTCAGTCTTAACCTTTTGTAAATCGCATATTGCATATTTGTAGCCAAAATAATGGCCACATACATTTCCACAAAAGTATGAGTGCTGAAATTGAAAATTCAAATTTTTTCCAACATTCAGGAAAGATATGTTTATCAAAAATCATTGAACCACGACAAAATTCAAACTTAAACTGCTTATTCCTAAGATGTATCTATATTTAAATTTGAGTTGAATGTGTACAACCATTGGGGAGATAATGAACGGGAACTTAAAATTTCTGATTTTTTTTCAAAGTTCAAAAGGGATAACTCTGTCAGCTATCATCAAACCATGACCAAAGTCGAAATTGACCAATGCATTCTTATGACATATCCATATCTTTAATTTGAGTTGAATATGTACAACTGTTGGGAGATAATGAATGGGAACTGAAAATTTCCATTTTCGAAATTTTCCAAAGTTAAAGGGGCATAACTCTGCCAAAATCGTCAAACCATGACAAAATTCAAACTTGACCTGCACATTTCTTTGACATATCCATATGTCAAATTTGAGATGAATGTGTAATACCCTAGAGGATGCGTTTATTTAAGGTCGCCAAGATTTTTCGTTGATTTTTTTCCAGCTTTAATGGTGGAGGAAGACCCCAGGTGCCCCTCTGGGCATTATTTCAGGCACGAGCGGGCACCTGGGTAGAACCACAAACCTTCCGTAAGCCAGCTGGATGGCTTTCTCACATGAAAGATTTCGACCCGAGTGAGGATCGAACCTACAGCAGTGAGGGACCTGTGATCTCAAGTCAGCGACTTTAACTACTCGGCCACGGAGGCCCCTAGAGGAGATAATGAACGGAAACTGAATTTTTTTTATTATTTTCAAAGTGAAAGGGACATAACTCTTGCCAAAAAATTAACGAACCATGACCAAATTCCAACTTGACCTGCGCATTCCTTTGACATATCCATAGGTCAAATTTGAGTTGAATATGTAACACTGCTGGGGAGATAATGAACATAAAATGCAAATTTCATATTATTTTTAAAGTAAAAGGGGCATTACTCTGCCAAAAATCATTGAACCATAACCATATTCGAACTTGGCCTGCGCATTCCATTGACATATCCATATTAAGTTGAATGTGTAATTCTGTTGAGAAGATAATAAACGGAAACAGAAAATTTCCTATTATTTTCAAAGTAAAAGGGGCGTAACTCTGCCAAAAATCATCCAACCATGACCAAATTCGAACTTGACCTGTATTTTCTCATGACATATCCATGTGTTGTACCGTTGGGGAGATAATGAACGGAACTAAAAATTTCATATTATTTTCAAAGTAAAAGGGGCATAACTCTGCCAAAAATCATCGAACCATGACCAAATTCGAACTTGACTTGTATTTTCTCATGCCATATCCATATGTCAAATTTGAGTTGAATTTGTGCAACCGTTATTAAGATAATGAACTGATGATGACGGAATGACGGAAGGATGGGGGTAACACTATATGCCCCGGCCATTATATGGCGGGGGCATAAAAATATGTTTTTAATCTAAATTGAGCTAATTAGATTAATGAGGACATTCTGTTTTCAAAGATAATCATGCAACATAAAGAAACGATTACTGTTGTTCATTGAGTCATATGTTCAACATTATTTATCAATTACAATGACAAAATTTATCCCTCAAATAATAAAATTAACTTCATTTATCATAACTCGAGATACTAAATAGAAGTCATTTTTCCCTACCAGAGATACTGTTGTCATTTATTCCTTCCTTAGATACTGACGTCATATATATATTACATACGTCATTTTCTCCAGTCTATTTATGAACACTAATTAGAACAGGTAATATGTGTGAAGAGTGTAAGGGTCTCATATAAGAGACTTCTCTCTTCTCTAACAGAATTTAAGGTATGATATTGTTGAAATGGATGGCTGTTAAATATCAAAGATTGAAAATAAAATAATTTATTAAGGATTGGTAGTCCTGAAAAATATCTAGGGTACCTCAAGATGTATTACTTGTACTGGTAGTGGTGCAGCAGAACATACTGAACTCATTTTGCCAGTACTGGTACTGATACTGGATTACTCACATACTATTTGTTACTAAAAATGCTATCAATTTTATTTTTTCAAAAAGTTTTCTATTCTAGGTATTCTGTTAGTTACAAAATAGTTACTTACTGACCATATATACCTGAGCTGTGTTTTTGGCAATTAGAACATTTATAGTGAATTAGTATTTTGTATAGAAATCTAAATACAACTTTGTTTATACATTTTGCTACCTTTATCACAAGTTATTTCACAGTCAATGTGATTTTTCATGAGATAAGCATCTCATATGTTCTAAATCTATCTTTACTGTATTATAAAACACATATTTGCTATTCCTAAGGAAAGATTAATTTATTTACATGTGCATACGTCCAAAACTGAGTCCTACAGTTTAATATGAAGACTTTCAGAGGTTACAAAGGGATATAATACAGTTACAATTCATGCTAGAGTTATGGAACTTAAAAAGTGACCTACAATTATAATGAATACATTGTATTATACATAGTTAAAAAAAAGATCATCAGAAATTACTGAATAATGAAACTTAAACACACAACCTTAACAAAATTGTTATCCTACAGATTAAACTTAAGTAAATCGATAATCCAACGATTCTTTGAATATAACCAGCTCAAAAAGATTGGACATTTAATATAGTCATACAAAATTACATGTATTACAATATTCTGTTACAAAATGACCATCAAAATACAAAGCAAATACAATCCTTTTTTTTTTTTAAATATTTTCAATCTACAATTTCATGCTGAAAACATAGCCAGCCCTTATCCCAGCTCTAGTCTACCTATAATATAACATGACAATATGCTTTTGTATTTTCTCACTTTAAGTCAGGAGTATTGTATACCCATGCAAAAAATACACTTACATTTTTTTTCTCCTCACAGTCATTTAAAAATTCATTGTTAACTTTACACAGAAAATACAAATGTATATCAGAAAGTAAAGGTTCACATTTTTCACCAACAAAGATTCAACTGAATATGATATCAATCAAATATGATATCAGTAGAATATGATAAAACTAAATATGATATCAACTGAATATGGTATCAACTGAATATGATATTATATGATTAATATGATCAAAACATATTATACAATTATCTTTTAAGTAGAGTAATGAAACAGAATAATTTAACAATTTATCACTCACACGATATAATGCTCACCTGAGCCAAACAGTATGTTACTGGGTCAAAAGGTAGGTCATATTGTCCATTTCATAGCTGTACCTTTTTACAAAAATAGGTCATTGGCTCAAAATCAAGGTCAACTTATGTCATAGTTCAATTCTGCATTTAAGCAGTAAATATAGTCCAAATTTTATAGCTGAAGCTCTAAATACAAAAGGTCACTGGATCAAAATAATGCACAAAAGACAACCATCAATTCACAGGTTTGACATAACTGTGTGACCTTTGAATTGGAGACCCGATTCCTTTGTGCGACACACATCATCGTTTCAAACACATTTTAATATGCCAAGTTAATTTTGAAATCCATCTCGAAAAATTGAATAGTTGATCGGACATGACCATCAATGTAATTAGAAAAAAATAATCATAATTAGTTTGACCTTGACTTTTAACCTTGAGTTCTGATTATTACAAGTTATATGTAGTTATCATGTACAACAGACTTATTCAATGTAACTTTAAAATCCATCCATGAATAACAAACATTAGTGCATTTTATGTAAAAAAAAGTTTCAGGATAAGAGATGTAATGTTTTAACAATATACTTATAAGGAAAACCTGTGACCCACCCAGATGGTGCCAATTTTGACCAAGGGCTATAATTCGAACAATTTGGTTTATGTTCACTAGACAATGTTTCATGCAAAATACCATTTTTTTCAGTGAGAATATTTTTTAAGTTTTTACTATATACATATAAGGAAAACCAATGACCTCCAGGGTAGAATGTAATAGTTTAACAATTTTTAAAAAGCTTTATGCCAGGAACAATCCTGTCTAGTTTTAAGAGTTGGTCTAATGGTTAAGGAGAAGATGTTATTTTAAACAAAAGTTGACGACAGATTACGGACAAAACCGGCACAATAGCTCACCTAGAAAAAAATCTGATAATACATGAATTTCCTATGTTCATAGCAGGAATAATTCAGCTACAGATATGAGACTTATGATTATGACCTCTAAATCATGTGTCAAGATTCAACTGAAACAAACTACATGTTTGTTTTCTGTAAAATTTAAAAGCATTTTGAAAAATTTCTCTGTCAATAGAAATACTAAAGTGTAATCAGAAATAAAACAATTATTACTTATACATTAAAAATAACAAAACATTTATTGATACATTTTATTGGCAAATGTTAAAAAAATAGGTTGAACAATATACACATTTTTTTTTTCAAAAAAAGAGTAATGTAGCAAATTTCTACAAAAGTAAATTTCATATATTATAAGAAATTAAGAAATAGATGCTTTTAACATTATATCTTTCACCCATAGGTTCTAGGCAATATTATAACAAAAGTTCATTAGATATCATAGTCAATGGATATAACATTTAATGGATACCATATCAACTTTTGATCATATTCAGTTTATCATATTTGATTGATATCATATTCAGTTGATATCATATCTAGTTTTATCATAATCTATTGATATCATATTCAGTTTTATCATATTTGATTGATAAGATATTCAGTTGATATCATATTCAGTTGATACCATATTCAGTTGATATCATATTCAATTTTTAATTTTTATCATCTTCTACTGATATCATATTTGATTGATATCATATTCAGTTGATATCATATTCGATTGATATCATATTTAGTTGATATCATATTCGATTGATATCATATTCAGTTGATATCATATTCAGTTGATATCATATTCTGTTGATATCATTCATTTTATTGTCAACCTGTAACATATTTATTGTATAATACATTTTATAGATATAATATATAATAATCAAAACAATATAATATGTATAAGTAAAATTATTTCATGCATTGAATAGTGGAAAAAATTAAATCATAATTGGTCCCTTATTTTTAAGATAACAAACTTAATCATGCTTTGGAAGAATTTAATAGGTTTTACATGTTTCAGAAAATTACATAAATCACCAGAAATATAGTACATTGAGTAACTTATCCATGACACTGTTGGATAAAGAGAAATATTCAAACAACTTTGTTCTTAACTTTTGTGCTCCAGCATACATTCACTGACATTGCTGTTCAATCTATCAATTTTCACTCACATATACTCTATGGTAAATTAAATCAGTGTGACTGAACAAAGTGAGAAATTATTTTTAGAAAGTATCTTAGCCTTTTAAATGCTTCATGCTAACATGACTATGGCACCAAGTCTACATGTTTGTACACTTGAATCAGACTGTATAGTGTTGATAACTGAATTTCTGCATTTCTAAAAAATTAACAAAGTAATTTCTTTCAAAAAGTTTATATCTACTGGATTTGTTTTAAAGCATTATATTACATATCACTACCAAGTACATTACAACAATAATGAAACAAAAGGAAACAAATTATTGAAATTATTATAATATCTATTTTTGCAGTTTTTCTACATTCTCTTATTAATTTTCTTTAATCATATTTCATATTGTTTGACACTTAATTTTTGTTTACTTTGTAATACAAAGATTGCCAGAACCATATTATGTACATGTTCTATTAATGTAAACTTTCCTTTTATTTATTATGTGTTCCATAGCTACCATTAACTCTTAATTTGTGCTTTTTACAATGCAATTTTCCTAATTCCACTGGTGTTGATGGCAATACCAAATGACCAAAAAAGGCCTGCAATATGTACTATCTATTTTCTTTAAAAGATCATTCACTAACATAATATATCACTTTATAATGTAACTGGAATGAACACATTAAAAACTTATACTTTGTAAAAATAGCTATGACAATAACATTTGTGTAATTCACTATCATAACAAAGTTCATTTTCACGGATGCTATCTGTTACTTCTAACATTAAATATTTCTTCATCATCATTATCATCACTAATATTGGCACCACCATCTTCTGTTAACATCTCCATTTCTTCAATATGTCTAACACCTTTTGTCAAGGATTCCTGCCGGTCTATAAATAGACATCACTCATGTATCAATAGACTAATAATATTTAGAGTAGCCATAAAGATATTAGACAGATTATATGGTATGGCCAAGTATATACATGTTACTTGTTGAAAGTCATTACATCAAATTTATATAGCGCAAAGTTGCTTTCTTTGATTAAATAAGGATTTCGCAATATGCAGTATTTTTATAAAAGGGTAAAAAGCTTTAATTTCTAATATCTTACCCTATATTAAGTCATGTTTTGATGAAAATATTGTTATTGCTTACAACAGATAAGAACTGAGTCTTAATATCAGAGTCTATATATCAATTTGATATTTTTTAACGTTCATGGTAAAAGAAAGGCAACAATTGTAAATAGCTGAAAAACACACCTTATTACAGACACTGATTTTCTATTCAAAGTTCTACATCAACTGTTTATCTAACTGAGATAGGTTATATGGTGATGACAATGACACTCAAAGTTATATGGTAAAGTTTGAGCTATACAGATGGAGGAGGACCTCGGGCACTCATCAGTGCTTTATTTCAGCCACAAATAGGCACTGAGTCCAACCATCAACCTTCTATTAGCTAGCTAGATAGCTTCCTTGCTTAGAAAGAAGTAGTATTTGAACACACAATGGTGGAAGGCAAGTAATAAGAAATCTTTTTGTTTGTTTGTTTTTGGGTTTGCGTCACATCGACACATTATAGGTCATATCGGGACGTTCCAGCTTTACTGGTGGAGGAAGACCTCAGGTGCCCTTCCGTGCATTATTTCAGGCACGAACAGGCACCTGAGTAGAACCACCGACGTTCCGTAAGCTAGCTGGATAGCTTCCTCACATGAAAGAATCCAAAGTCCCTGTCGGGATTCGAACCCACAGCGGTGAGGGGCAAGTGATTTGAAGTCAACGACCTTAACCACTCGGCCATGGACGCCCCAAGAAATCAATGACATGTACCGTTTGAACACTGTGGCATCTTATTTTGCTGCTAGCGATTCAATTGTACTTACTGTTGACAGCTTTCAGTATAACATGTAGAACTATTCCAATTAGACACACAACCAGTCCTATACCATTTACTACATTCATCTTGTCATTGTTAAACACATGTGCTAAATAAAGAGTACATAACTCCTGCAATAGAAAACAAAACCATGATATTCCTAAATAATGATATTGCTATGTTGTTGAAAATTCAAAACATTTCATCTATACAAAGTTCACTAATCAAATTAAAAGGAAGTATAATTTTTAAATATTTTTCATCATTTATCATGCAGATGTAAAGGAAACAAAACTTTGGAAATGGGAGATCCTTCAAGAAAATTGAATCAAAAACAAAATTAGAAATCCCACTGGACTTTATTATAAATACGGATAAAATTTTAGGAATCAGTAACAAGAGAAAATAGCAACACTGTATTGAAGTCTGTACAGTGTAACATTTTACAGTGCGAGAATTAAACTTCTGGAAATAGAGATCAATCAAACTACTTAAAGAATCAATGGTAAAACATAACACTACAGCAGAGTCCCAAACATTTGCCCAGTTTGACTGGTAGAGGAAGATGTCAGGTACTCCGCCATGCATTATTTCAGGTATAAGTAAGCTAATGATTGACTAAGAGCCATCATCACTTCTTAATCTAGCTGTTATGATCGCTCACAGGAAAGTGAGCAGGATTTAAACCTGCCACCATGAGGGGCAATTGATGTCACAGTCTAAATCACTTTACAACAGGCTCCTTTTAAAGTGATTTACCTTGAACTTTTCACAACAGAAATAACATAATTAATGCCCCCACTGTAAGTTTTTTTCTGAATATCTCCCAAAACTGTATTTTGTATATAACTTGTTTTCCTTGACGTCAACTCTAAGTTAAAGAATATATCTTACCTTAAATATCCCAGAAATTGATAAAGTAAGACTAGATGTTTGAGACAACAGCAAAAATTCACTGAACTCTAGCATGAACGCTAAACATGCTCCAAATAGCACCAAACCGAGATTACGGAATAAAATACTGTATTCAGTGAACCTGAAAAAATTATCTGTGGTTGCTATAGAAACACCTGAAATTATAAAAAAAAGTATCAACATAGTAAATTATTAATAAACCAAAATTTCTTGTTTCCAGATTTCCAAGTCAGTCTGGAAGATAGCAAATAAATGTTTTGTTGCGTTAAAAAATTTAAAAAGACCAACATTTCATTCATAGCCTGTTAAATCTATAACATTTATCATGTAATAGTATAAGTATTGTCCATTTAACATGATATATTTCAATATTAAAATTACAAACTTAAGCTTCCAACAGTGCAAAAACAGGATATATGGCAATTAAACATGTCTATCTGTTAATCAATTCCCAATTCACGAGACACCACCAAATGTCATTCTAGTATTAAAGTTTCTGGTATAATTTTACCTTCAAATGCTGCAGAGAGAGGTAAGAGTCCTACAATCATCCATGGTTGTATATGATACATCATATCTAGTGGATTATGTAACCCTGAAAATAAAATACATGCAAATTAATGAAAAGATTTATAGAAGCAAACCCTGGACACTGGGACAGACAGGAATATCCAACTCGGAGATACTTGTTAAATCCTGTAACAAGGCTCTGCTACATGTAAGTCACTGTTGAACTGTTTACTCATTGGTCAGATATATTAATATCTGCCAATCATCCTGGGTCTGATGCTTTATCTTGCATATTACTAATCAATTATAGTTTGAAATAAAATAAAAGAAAAAGGCAGTTTGGTAGTAATAGAACCAAATGAATTTAAAACTTCATTCAAAATGGCTGAAAGACGTCATTCAACACCCACAGAGTAAAAAATTAAATTTTCAGCACCCAAGCAAACACAACAAATTTCAGTGTAATTATTATGCACTAGTTATATTCCAAAATCAATACTTGCTTAAAGCCTACCAGCTATCAGATTATTTTTAACATATTTTCAAAACATAAAAACTAAATAAAATAATTAAAAGTTTTGAAAATGCATGAATATCAACAACTCAAAATCACCCTTTGCATATTCAATTTGAATACAACTAAATTTATTATTCAAATTCCTACATGTCTACCCTATTACTCACAGCATAAAGTGAACTGCCCATAAGAGTCTTGTAAAATTGTTAATATGGTTCTGATTTTCGAGCTCTAAACTGCATGTCTGTAATGCTTGCCTTATACCTTAACACAGCCAAACTTAAGTAATTAATATAGTTACCTATTTCATTTTTCTGTGTAACTAGCTGGGCAAGAGTCCATCGTAGACCAGACAAGACTGAGGCTATCATTACCATTGTAAATCCCTCTCCATTAAACTGTGTCGAGTGGTAAGTGAACATGAACAACCCAGTGGCTATAAATAGCACAATCACCACCAATGACCATCTCTGTAAGGGAAAAACACATGGAGTTTCCTGCTCATTTTATGAATCATTTAATGACTTTTGGATTAAGTGTATTGCAGAAAATTCTAAAAATAACCTCACATACAGGTTAGTTTTAGAGAAAAAAATGTTTAAATTCTAAATGAATATCCTAAAGAAGATTATTCTTTGATGATTTGTTTCTAAATAAATTGACGTTCAGTACAATTTTAATCAAACACAGTTATGTTATTTTAGTATTACAGGTATTGAACATAGTGAAATAAAACTAAATACATGTTTATCAAAAGTGGGTCACAAAGTATAATGACATGCTATGGTTGAATATGGTAATGTCACAAGTGAAGTGCTTGAGGTATCTTTTGCTTAGGGAAATCTTACTTACCGGGCAACATGAAATATAAAATATTTCATCAACAAAAATTTGGGCATAGAGGATTTTTTAAAATATGAATTAAAAAAAAGGATTTTTTAAAATATGAATTAAAAAAAATTGTCATACAAAGACATTGTGACAAAAAAACTTACCCATTTTTCAAGACGGAATAAAAGCGCAAAAAATAATATAAATATCACAGCTGAGGACTTGGACATTGTATACCTGAAATAAATTTATAGAAAAAAATCACATTACAAAAATAATGAACGAATAAATGTTTTTAAATTTTGTAGCACTTAAATTTATTGCAATGAAATTGAGCGCCAAGTGCTCATTTGTTGTAAAGTTATTGGTCAAAAACTGTTTAACTTTTGATGTTTCAATACTGATTAATGTGAAGAAGTTGGCACTTACATAAGGATAAAAAAGATAGTTGCCTTATTCTAAAAGAAATATAATTTAATATGCTGTACTTGAAAATTAATGTTTATAATTATACTTACAATGAAACAGTGATAAATTCAAAGCTCCAATTAGATAGTCCTATGTCAATTGCACTTGTAATCCCTGTGAAGGGAAAAATAAATATTAATCTTTTCATTTATACCCTACAGTATGTTTTATCTGGATTACATATATCCAAAGAGAAAATATATACAAGAGCAAAAAAATGCTCCTATACAATATATATATTAAAGGATATTAGGAAGTGAGATATTTTAAATATTTTCACGACATGCGTGCATAAGAAGTTTATTACTATTTAATGTCTCAGATATGTTCCAATTTCACTAGAATCAAATTTTGTTTTCCTTCTACATTATTAAGTTGCATCTGTATTTAAGTATTAAAATTTAAATTGCATAAAGTTAAATCTAATGACATATAGATCTGTTCATAAAATTTATTAATGTTAAAATTCCGAAATCATTGTTGGTACTCAAAAGAGCTGTACATGTAACATAGAATGTCTCTGTTAGTAAACACACATGAATATCATACAAAACAGGATAAAATGTTCTGGAACAAAAAAACATGCTGCTATTTTTAGTAGGGTTTCAACCATTTAGCAGTGATTTTATGCATGACTTCTTAGCACTTAAAGAAAGATCCAAAAACATTTCTTTTACCGTTATACAGATATTTTGGAAGTATTACTTTTCAAAATTCAAACAATAGTTTTGCATATTGCAGCCATCAGATATAGCTATAGCTTTATACGAGAGACATACATAACAGAGAAAGACAACTTCCTAGCCAGTTAAAATATCACATTTGCTTGCTAAACCTATAACTTGTAGCAAGTAAAACTTATTAACCAAATATCAAAATCAGTAAAATAATACATTTTCTGAAAGCTTATGCTTTTGTCTATGGCTGCAGATAATAACATTAATTATACAGTTCCCATTTAAATAAATGATACATCAATCTTGGAAGAGAACTACTTAGTAATTTTGGTTACAAAAGTATTCATATGACAAAAAAAACTGGCTTAGTAGGTATGTTCTGCTATGTTTTTATAAGTGAATGGCAAGGAAAGTTACCAATATTTTAACATGTGATTTAACTTTCAAATGGTGTATATTATAAAAGGATTAAAATCCATTAAGTTTTATTTGCTACAAAATGCCTATTAATTTTTCACTTTTTGATAGACATGAGTGATAGCTTATCTCTGTTATCTACATCTCTGCTTTATACACTTTAAGTCACACATAATCTAAAATGACACCATAATAATGCTAAATTATTTGACATTGTGAAATATTTAAAATATTGTGTATTTCTGTATAAAACAGGAATCAAAATACTATACTTCACGCATTTTCAGATTAACAGTTAGATATGACTTATATCTCATTGAAAAGTGTAAGATAATGACTATATCTAATCAGAGATCTGTATTATAGACAAGTATCAAGGGATTATAAAAATTATAATAAAATGTTCAATATTTGCTGATTGGATAAATAATTAAATTTAACAAGATCAACATTCCATATTTCTGATGTATTTGAATCTTTCCTGGTCTTATAAAAAAATTTTTATGAGAATAAACATTATTCTATCAAGTATTGTATTCAGTTATGTATAATATTTATCACATATCCAGATCAGTGCAATCTAATTTGATCTTACAGAAGAAAAAAAGGAGTAAGACTAAAAAAGTGCTGGTTAACCGCATTAAATTCTATATTTTGATATATACCAGACAATGCACTTGAATGTTTAAAGGCTAAAATCTCACTTTTTCACCCACCGAAATGCACTTTAAGACCCCTTATTTATCTCTTCACATTGATTTATATACGAAAATAAACGTAAAATTTAAATCTGCAAAAAAAGGCAATCTTTTTTTACTTTGTGATCATGATTTCTGCCAGCGTAAAGGTAGTGCTCTAACACTATTGTCAGTTAAATAAAAAAAAAAGGATTACATGACTTTACATACCAGCTGGAGCTATACGTTTACAGAACATTCCCCATGGTAATGTTACCCTCGGTTCCCCCGTCTTCCATTCTATAATTGTTCTGATCAATGCTGCTAACATAAACTTGGTAACCAGATGAGCCATAGTTAATGATAATGGGTAATTAAAGTGCTGAAAATATAAAACACATTCATCATATGCCAGGAGTACTATGAAAAATAGCATATCTGATTGTACATGCATTTCATATATGAATCTGATGTAGTTACTTGTGCTTTTTTATTCTGGAAAAACATCCCCATGAAAGATTAAGAACTATGATGCTACTGTTGTTCTTTTAACATAGCATTACACAGCTGTTGTCAAGCACTAAAATAAACATTTAAGTCTGTTTCCTCCAGTAAGGAACTTTTGAAACTTTTTCCTATGCTTATAGAAACTTTCTAAAGCAAACTTGAAGATTTCTCAAACTAAAACAGTATGTGTTGAAATAAAAATTATGAGTATCAGTCACTATAATTTAATTCAGATTATTACTTAACATAAATGTTGTAAAAACCAGGAAACTGTTGAGATGATTTAAAGAAAATTTGTCTACAATTTTGTAAATTGGGAAGGAAAAGGTTTATTTTTTCACTTTTTTTTTTTTGAAGAAAAAGAAGAAAAGGGACTGGCAAAATTTTAAACAACATCACATACATTTTTATCATATTTTGATATATATATATGGATATGCATATACACTGTCCATCAATAAGCTAGCTAGATAGTCTTTTGCAAATGACCCAGTAGAATTCAAACAAACATCTACTGATGGCAAGTGCAGCAATAGAATCAAAATTTGATTTGATACATAGTTAAAATACAAAAATGTACCTTTATAAATCTTTGATTGTAGAATGTAAGTCCAATTGAAAAAATATAATAGAAGATGACAAGAGCACAAGTTTTCACTGCCAGTGTTAAAAATGTCACAGAGCTTAGAGATTTCTTCACTGTCTCCGCTTTGGGTTTCACTGCACTTTTTATCTCCTTCAGTTTTTGGTCAACATGTAAGCCATCTGGTAAATGTAGACCATGGCGGTCGACCAGGGACCTATCTTTCTTCCCCATTCTGGAAACCAATCTTTAGTTATATCTGCTGTTTTTGTTTCACAACCAATTACATCCCCCCACCTTAAAAAAAGATAAATAAAAGAATAGTAATAACATATAATATTGTTTCAAAAAATGAATAAGTTTTAAATGGCTGCTGAGTTCAAGGCTGAGTTAAAAGTGTGACCTTTAACTTTGACCCAGAGATCTGGTTCATGTGCGTGACATAGCTTCTCATAACAGTGAACATTTCTATGAAGTTTCATTAAATTAAACGTCACTACTGCCATGTAATCCAACTAGGCAGCAGCGGCCATCCAATATTCACCAAATATATCTGTAAAATGTTTAATTGATGCAGGCCTTCTGGGCGAGTGACCCTTCAATTTACTCGCCCTTTATAAAATGCACTCGCTCTGCATTTTTGCAGACAAAATTTGTAAAAATCAAACATAACATTTACTGGTCAATATTGGTATTATCGCCTTTACTCATTTATATAATGTTAAATAATGTCATTCTTTTTATAGATCTAGCATAACCTGAATATTTATTTAACACATATGCGCACGCGACTAAAATATCCACCTCTTGGCCAAGTATTAACATAACGGAACAAGTATGTATAAAACATTGTCAAATGCTGACTTCACGATTCGATTCATCATACGCGTTCAGTAAAGTTTTATACCTAGTCATAATATGTAAATTTTCGGTTTCATTTGACAAGTTTTACATGTTTAGAGGAGTAAGTTATTGAAATATTTACTCTTGAAATAATAAGGGTAGAGGGTTGAAGTTTTTTTTTATTTATCAGGGGCGGGGGGGGGGGGGGGAGTGTCTTGAACATGTTTGATGGGTAAGTGTCTTCAATATTCGAGGGATGAAGTGTCTGAGGCAGTGAGGGTAGTTCTGGCTTCCATAACTTTAAATGTCGCTTTTTATTTTGACGTTGTGCAACAGTTAAATTATGGGTTAACTTCATTTGCAAAGGCTACCACAATTTTGTAAGTTCATGAACATAACTCATGTAACTGTAAAATCACCCTTATTTAAGTTATTATTATAGATCTATCAATCAAATTTGGTTCAAATACATTATATCATTTGATAAACAAATCAATTCTGAATCTTTTCATTGTTCTTTTTTTAAATAAAACCTCAATAACATTGTATACGTTTTTAGTTGAGAGTGTTGCCTAGAATTTGTCGATCTACCCATATTTTGGGACCATCCGAATTTAGTGAAACTTTGTAACAAGTATGTTATGAACGTCTTATATAACTATTAATGCCCTGACATACATTAGAATCATTAAAAAATTATCGTTACATTCACTATCCCATACCCTTAACTCACCAATACCCTCTCTTCAATAAGAAAAATGAAATTTTATGTTGTCAAACTTGACACTTGTCATTTTTGTAAAGTTATAAGCGGCCAAGATTAAATTCGCTTGTGTGTTTTACAAAATTAATATTTGGGTTGCATGGTACTAAATCGTCTTTGGAATTGCATGCTTAGGGGCGGGGTATAATAATGTTAATATATTGTTAAACTATATATAATATCTAGTCTTTGACTAAATCCATATTTATAAAAATTATACATTGTATACATTATATACAGTAACGGTTCTGTAGGGACAATTTTCATTCTATATAATATAACTTATTTAGTTAATTACTAAAACAGTAATTATATAACCTGTGCTCAAGTTACTATAAGGATATTATCTGGTCAGTTTGTAAAACAATTATATGGAGACTGATTTGTGCCATTCGTGTTTTCGCCCCGCGATCCCGTCACGAGTTTTATCCCTGCGCCTCTGCTAATTAGCGTGTTTTAACTCCGCGTCCCGCCATTTTAAATGACAGTTTAAGACATTTTAACAATGATTTTTACAATGATACATTTTCCATTAACAAAGATCAAAAGAAATTAAGTGCATTTAGATAAATATGTGTTAAGTTAATTCAATTCAATTCAAAAGATAATTATTTAAAAAAAATTAAAACTGAAACACGTGTGGACAATTAAGCAAAATTTAATGCAAATTAAAAAGGGGCGGCGAATTGAGTTTTAACACCTTCAAAAACCCTCAGAGTGCCGACGACATTATTCCGACTGATGATGGCGCCAATTAAGGCCAATCAATGTTGTTTGTTTAATAATTAAGAAATAGTGTGAAAATCTACCCGACTTTTCCAATTAGATTTTGAGGGGTGTTAAGGAGCAAATGCATCTTCAATATAGAGACATTATTGCGTAATATGCGTGTGAAAATATGGTATTCTACCCTACAGTTAGTTTAAGTTTGGATTAACCCGTCACGATAGTAGCCGGTTGATCATCAGAAGTCACTTTTTCGAAAAACTCGCTAAACGAAAGCCACCAACAAGAGAGAATTTCTGTTACAAAGCATTGGTAAGTATACTTTGAATCTATAGTTTATCTTGATAATTAAACATAAAATAATTGTGTAATTGTCTGATCAATTTCTTAATTAAGATCGAAAATGTCAATAAACTTCACTTATATCGGATCTGATTAAATATGATTTACGTACTGTTTCAACTTTTTTAATTGGGATCTGTCAGTCAAAGTTTGATTCCGAGGGAAAACATTATGACTAAGCATATAACTTTACAATATGAAGTTAACAACTAAGAACCACAAGGATTTTTTTCCACGCTTTTCATTATTACGTGATTGTATATTAGTTAATATCTCTTTTACCAATGCACATAATTAACACTATACATGTACAGTAGTTTCACTTAAGATAGGAATACGCAATTAGCCATTCTATAGACATAGCACATGTATGTTATATAACAACAAAGGATTGACATCGAAAGATAATAGATGAATGTAGAGATTATAAAATTATCTTAGAAATGTTATTAAAAGTCCTTCTGAGCAAATTCTGAGTGAAATGATAAACCTTTTATTTAAACATATCTAAAACAATAAGTAATCAAGAATAAAGTGTTTACTTTCAAAATTACGCAAGAACTAAAATGTTGTTCATTAACATGTTAATAAAATCTATTGGTTTTACCATTTAGTTTTCTGTATGGCTGGTTACTTCTTTGCTAAGAATATCAAAACAGGCTTTTGCTACAATACTTTTTTCTGAGTGGTTGGACCAGAGACTTAATTATATTACATAAATATAGCTCTGTGGTTAACATAAAAACTGAAACTTATCAGGATTTCTTCAGTTAGTATTTTGTCTATGACTATCACGAACTCCTCTCCCGTGACTATATAAATATGACTTATTTGAAAAATAATTGTTGTTGATTATAACATATTTGTTTGCATGTATTCAGACTCTTACACGAGTTATTATTATTTCATAGATCTATAGTAAATAATTTTAAGAAAGTATATTAAAGAGAGCACATGACGACACTACTATAGCATAGTACTATCGTTTAAAGCTATATATTAAATGAAGTAGGCGCATTCAAAACGACTTTACAGAGCTCGAAAAAAAAAAATTAATACCTGATAGGATAGTAAAAACATGTGAAGTTACCAAAAATAAAGATATTAAAGGCATTAAGATAGGAAACATTGAACTAAAACAAACACTTTTTGCCGATGATGCATGTTTTTATAACTGATGGAGAAAAAAGATCGTTTCTAACACTTATTTCAACACTAAAATTTTTTTCAAATATATCAGGCCTTAAATTGAATAAAGATAAATGTACTGTTTTAAAACTTGGAAGTTTAAGAAATACTCATATCAATTTCTGCAATGACAATAATTTTAAATGGACATCTGAAAAAGCTAGCACGCTCGATATAACTTTCACTAATAACATAGACGAAATGCTTAATACTAATTTAACACCTAAACTGAAAGAGTTCGATCAATGTTTGCATAAATGGAAACGATGGAAACTAAGTCTTTTTTGGAAAAAATAAACCGTTCTTAAAACTTTTGTAATGCCCAAACTTATTTATCCTCTCACAGTTTTACATAACCCAGACCAAGAAATCATAAATAAAATAAAAAAAGCTCATGTTTAACTTTCTATGGACAACAAACCAGACAAAATATCAAGAGATAAGATTATTCAAGATTACCAACATGGGGGGCTTAAAAAATGTTAGACGTTGAAAGTTTTTATATATTCCTTAAAATGCTCCTGGGTTAAACGCATTAAATTGCAGCAACATTCAGAATGGGTTAAAGTATATGAAAATATGTTAAATAGATATGGAAAAACAATTCATATTTAAATGTAATCTAAACATAAAAGTATTGAAAATATAGATATTAGATCTACATTTTTAAAAGACGTACTCAGTGCTTGGTCGTATGCAAACTTTAATAAAGAAATAACTGATGTTGGTAAAGAAATTATATGGAACAACACGAATATAAAAATAAGTAACAAACATTTGTTTTCTGTGAATGGATGGAAAAAGGCGTAATCTTCATCGAACATATATACGATTATAGGAAAAAAACAATTTTATAACTTTAACGAAATCCAAAACCTTTATGGCATAGCCCAAACAAACTTTTTAAAACTATCATCAACTCATAAAATGCATACCAAAAAGAATGGAAAATAAAACTAAAATCTGAAGGGATACAATACAAAGCTAATAACTACTTAATTGATAAAAATTAAAACCTCAAATTAAAACCTCCGATTTATTTATACTATGCTTATTTAAAAGAAAAAACAACAACAAACAATCATCAAGAAAACAAATGGGAAAGCTCTCAGGCAACTTTGAATGGAAAAATATATTCCATATAACATAACGATTGATACCAAAGCTTCGAAGTTTTTCAGTATAAATATCTTATGCGTATTTTGCCAAACCATGAAAAACTTTTTAAATATAATATGGTGGAGTTAATGTTATGCGATTTTTGCAAACTCGGCACCAGAATCTAATGTACATCTATATTGGGAATGCTAAAAAATTCAACCATTTTGGTGTCAAATTAGGATTTTTTTACAATCAAAAATATCTACAGACACAACTTTGGTATCATACGAAACTGTCAGTTTGTGTAATGTGAATATTCAAAATAATATGAAATCAAACTGCATTAACTATATTTTACTCTTAGGTAAATATTTTATATTTAAAATAAATACCAGAAAACCATACCAAAACTTCAGTGAATTTTTTAAATTATTTTAGATATAAACTTAGTTTAGAAAGACTCATTGCTGAAATGAAAAATAAGGTCAATGTCCATAACAACAAATGGAGCATATTCACATCATAAACATATGCGACTGGCTGGAGTCTATAAAATATTATTTACACGCTTACTATGAAACGCTTCTTTTTTATTAATGAAAACATAACTATAAATAATTAAAATTACATATATCATGCTCTAGATTACTTTTCCATTTTTACAACCATGTTAAATCAGTTTAAATCTACTTAGTCTTTTATTAAAGTTTTTTTCTGATGTAACCATTGTTTATTCTTGCAATTAAACAATTTTTATTTCATGCTTTCCAGTGTTTTATTGTAATATATCAGATGATTATATTCTGATAAACCACTAGTGAAATTTATAAAATATAATTTTCACTGTAGCCGGACTATATCTGAATGCGGATGAAAAGAAAATCATAACTGAATGAAATATCAGACAGAAATATATGCCGATAAGCGTAAATTTTGCTTCTTTAGGAAAAAGAAAGTCGATGTCACTATACATCATGTTGAAAATGTAACAAAATTAGAGATATTTAACAGAACTATATTTCAAAATTATTGATGTGACGTCATGACGTGATGACGTCACAAAGGAGAATGAGCGACGTTACTCGGCAAAATCAGTTAAAAAATACTTGAAATCACTTAAAAAGCATGAAATAAAAAGAAAATTTATTTGTTTTACATATAAGATTGAAATATATTTCATTCGTGAACACCAGCTATTATATTTTCACTCGTGGCTACGCCACTCGTGAAAATATTGCATCTGGTGTTCACTCAGTGAAATTATATTTCAATCTTACATGCAAAACAAACAAATATCCTCTATGTAATATGTTTGTAAATTTGTATAATGTATGAAATGTATTGTTTGTACGAACTGGATAATAAAGAAAATTTAATAATAAAAAAAAACAACATGTGACGCCATGTGATAACAATTGTAAAAATAACTGTATAAATTATATAGATCTATATATATATATACAAATACGAGGTGCAAGTCGTCTGTTCTTTGATATGTTATGCTTATACAATTGCTTTTCTCTGTCATAAAAAGATCTCAAAAATGTATTTTGCACTCGTTACGGATCAAATGTACATTCTGCTTGGTTATATAATGTACAGGGCATTATCATATTTAGTTCAGTGTCACAAAAAGGAAACAATGTACTACACCCATATTGTAATAAAGCTTTCATGAAAATATTGACACTATAAAAACAGCCTCCATTTATTTGCAAAATAATATAAAACATC